TTATTTTGAAAGAATATTAGCTTGTACTTGTTACTCGGCTTTTTCCTGAAGCAAACTTTCTCCCTATACCTATCCCAGTTCAACCTCCAACCATATAACACCAGAACCACCATTTTCTCAGCGGTGACATTTTTTCTTGGCGACATTTTGTCCGGCGACATTTTGTCCTGGCGACATTTTGTCCGGCGACATTTTGTCCTGGCGACATTTTGTCCGCGACATTTTGTCCGCGACATTTTGTCCGCAACATTTTGTCCGCGACATTTTGTCCGGCGACAATTTGTCCGCTCACGCCTGTAGATGGGTCATTTAAAAAATATTGCCACTTCCTTTTGTTACTGAGATTTACTCGTAATACTGGAGAATGCAATGAATGCTCGTTCAGGGCTGACATATATTCATTTTGACATTTCCTCTTTTCCCTGCAGACTAAGCTGAATGTGACATTGAAATCAGTGCATACATTAAATAGCATTGCCCACAGTTAAAGGAGGATGACAGCAGCACAAGAGAATCTACAGTGGAGTTTCTATACAATTGGGCTCTAGGGTGTAAAACACAAATTGTTTGCAGTATAATAGGCCAAGAAGTGTGTAAGTCTCACATTCACTTTGGGAGGAACCCTGCTTTGCTGTCACTTTCCCTATATAAATGAAAAAGTACTTCTGAGTGCCCATCAAAGTTTGTAGATCTTGAAGGATTTGACATAACTAAAGCAACATAAGTCACGAAATCACCTCCCAAAATGCTACTAAGGACAAGGACACAATAATGACACATGCACAATAAGATTAAGTTACCTCTGTTAGAGTCTCTTCCTTGTTGGTGCATTCCAAAATAATCACTCCTATTTCCCAGTGCTCCTGTCCTTCGACTCCGAATCAATTCCTAAAAAGAAGAAAAATGGATAATCCAATGAAATATGATCCTCTCACCAAGAGAAAAGCTGAAGAGACAAGAGACAATGTGTGTGAGACTGAGAAGGGAGTCATGATTAAATGGGAGGGTGATTGAGGATGGAATACCTTGGGGAGGATTTGATAGAAAGGCCAGGGTATTGAGGGATTGGTGAATCTATCTTGGACAGAACAGTGCTAAATTTACACTCAGAGCACTTGCACATCCTTCGCATCCATCCCATTCCCTTCCTCTCCCCCTGTTGCCAGGAGGGTCTTCCATTTCCAGATCCAAATTCCTTCTCCCTCCTCATCTGAATGAGCTTCAGCCTCAAGTCTGTCTTATGTAGGGAACTACCTGTCCCACTTTCCTGTGAACTTGTAGTTGACCCACTAAACATACTTTCACTTTGTTCTGATTCAATTCCTAAATTCCCTGAAAGGGCTCTCCCTTTTAACAAAGACCTGATGGATGATGCCTTCTCCTCATCCCAGTTGTGATGCTTCTGGCATAAAACAAATGGATCTAATCGTTCGAATACGCTCTGTCGCTTCGTTGCCTGCAATTGGTCTGCCTTCAGGGAGTTCTCAGACAGCAAACACTGTTTGTTGGATCCAATGCTCTCTGCCCCATCTGTACCACTCAACTTGCACATTTGCAACTGCCTCAAATCCATTTTGCGAGGTGTGCTTGCATCCCATGCAGGTGATTCCTGGTGAGGCAGGGCATGCATGCTATTTTGATAGGTTGAGGTTCTGATGTGACTGTCATTGTTGACAAGCAACGCCTGAAGAAAGGCAATCACTTGTCATCAGAGTAGGATCAGTGATGTAATTCATGAATTTCAATACATGAAATTTGAAATTACCTTCAGATACCATGCCTATTCACCTTGCTACATTTTACTGACATGGATGTAAATGCTAGCTGATGAAGCAGACTTGCCAAGGACTTGTACTGAATCAATGAGATTTATGGGGTAGGCACTTCTGTTTTTGTTTCAATGAAAGACTGGGATTAGCCTAACAGTCAATCTGATTCACTGGACATGACGATCAGTCGTTCAAAACTTTCTTCTTTCATCAGTACTAGATACATGAAGAAAATATATGAAAACAACCTGGATCTCTTGGAATTATTAATTTCAACCAGAAACCAACAACATCCAAGGGGTATGGGTAGTTTGTTCCCTCTGTGATGAGGACACTTTAGCTTGAATAAGGTTTTAATAAATTCCAAGATGATAATATTTTACTCTTGTCCATATTTTCCCCCATTTCACTTATCCCTTCTTGTTTGATTGTCCTATTGGGATGATATTTGGGGCTGCCCTTGATCAGGGATAAGAATACTTCATTGTAACTGTCTTGGCTGCTTTGACTTCTAAGGGTTATTCCCCTTCAGCTGATACCATGAATATTCCACATCACAAAATCCCTTTAAACAAGTGAGCTTGTTTAAGCTCCCTTGTTTGTTGTTATCAGTGAGCCTAGTCTCATTCAAATTCAAGCAAGTTACAGCTACCATAATGATCTTTCTAATTGCTAAAAGGACTCCATGGACCTTTATTTTGATACCCATTAAGTTATGCCTCCCTGAAACTCCAGGATGTTTTGTGAAGGATTTCATTGAAATGGACTTTCAGCTTTGATGTGTATTTAATAAAGAGTAGAGGTGAAACACAAGGTGGGTTGGTCCAGAATGCAGGAAATGTAAAAATTCAAGCTTCCAGGCCAGAACCAGGGGTCTTATTCAAAATTAGACTCTAGTTTCTTTCACCCAGCACAGTAGTTAGCCAATAGCATAGCTGGGACATGTTATCCCAGTCAAAGCATTGAGAAACTCTCATGGTCAAGGGCTATGTTCAGATAAAAAACATTGAATACAGGCCTGTCCCACCCTCCACTTCTTGCCAGAGTGGAACATCTATTACTCAAGTGTTTTTCCACACCATGATGGCAAGGATATGTACTGGTGTTAATTTCTCTAGGGTATTGCAATGTAAGTGTACACAATTCTGCTGAACGCTGTGTGCAGGTGCATCCATGCTAGTGACATCAAAAAGGGAGGCCTCATTGGAACTTGGGACAACATGTTTAATTGAACTTGTATGAGACCCTGAAACATGCCATTCACCAAGTAATACTTGAAAATTCATATTGAGAAACTGAGGCCTTCTTGTAATATTTTTTCAATGAATACTGACAGAGTTTCAGTCTATGACTGTTTCCTTGGCATCTTGTTCTGAACTTGTTGAATGTTTAATGAGGCATTTGCTGACTTCCAGGATTGACAGAATGGCTCTTACTGAGCCTAGTGATTTGAAACCTTCTGGCATAGCTAAGTATAAATTGCTTGGTAAGTCAGAGTAGTATGAGAATGATGCTTATGTAGTTACCTGGAAAGCCTGCTTTGTTGAGGGGTTGTAGCCAGTGGGACCAGTTGGCTGCTTCCCTTTACTCTCCAGAGCAAGGAAATCATCGACATGCATGGACGGTGGCCGAGAAGTGTTGGGAAGTCGCCTTCGAAACCGGTCCTGATCTCCAGTTCCCATTCCACGCCTTGAGAAATTTCCCCCTCTTCGGGATGCCCCTTTATAAATGCATGTAGTCAAGATTTTACCAATAATATAATCCAAACTCTCTGCCCAAAAATCCAGTTTTATGATTTCAAACAACCATGACATGGCACAATGCTTGATGTTAAGATCAGGGTGCTCAAACAAAATTGCCACAGAGGAAGGGAATACTGACCATAAGGCTTGCGGCCTCTGATTCCAACACGTGGTGTGTTCACTTGAGTCAACTTTCCTCGGCTGGGATTCAGTTTGCTGATTGTGGTCTGGTTGACTCCAACTGTCTCTGCAGTTAGAGGCTGTGCATGAAGCCAGCTTGATAAAGATTTTGCCAAGTCCATATCTGTCAGGTATTTGCTACACAGAGCTACCAAGTCCACCTCAACCTGTAAAGAAGTTTCTTCCCATCAGCACATCCTGACAAGCCTTCTTCTGGTTCAATCTGATGCTTCCATAATTTTTCATCACATTTTTTCACTCAGAATGCTAATGCTGCCTGAATACTTGTAATAAGAAGGAAAAATCAAGATACCTGTTGAGCTCCTTCAGGATCATCCTCTTCCATCTGGATGTGTGATCCCATCCAGAAGTTGCGAGATAATCGCTCTTCTTCAACTTCCTTGATAACCACACTCACTGGTCGAGTCAGCATCTGACTGCTCAATGACTTCACCTCTCCCAGGTGTGGTTCTGGCATTTCTATATAAAATTCATCAGCCAAGTCATACATCAAAAGCAATGCCTATATTTAGAGAAAGTTAGGTGTCAAATAAGGAAGAGTGTGCTTTGATATAATGTTTAAGGAAAACTTCCTGTATGCATTAAAATAAACATCCTGAAGTTTTGGATATTGCAAAGGAGACAACCATGGAAATAAACTCTTCGATCTTAAATTACTCATATTGAAGCACATATTTTCTTCCTCCTCCAATACTCTTAATTTGTTTCAGCAGTCCCAAGATAAATCCTGGGAAGCTGAAAGCAGAAAAACTGAATCGCAAATATTTTGAGAAAGTATAAGAAGTTTTAACACGGTAGCAAAGGTATCTGGATGATTTTACTCCATAGGGGTGAATGGATTACACCTTCCAATTTCCTTTAACCCTTTAATGCATGAAGTAGCAGACATGCAACATTCTGGAAAATTTTTTTTTAGCATTCATAGGTAGCTAGTTCCAGTAGTAAGTCAGTTTGTAGCAGTTGTGTGACAGTCCAATCCTTGTACCTAGGAACCCAGTGGTCGCTAGATGACCTACACTTCTGGTGGCAAGCAACCTGAATATGCACAGTGTATCATCATGTGACAGACTCATATTGGTGTAATTATCCATATTCATCTGTATTTTTACATTTTCATTTGTGTTGAGGAATGTACAAATGCTGACTGACTGAATCTCTAGCCTCCATGCAAATGTGGGTTAGAAAGCTGAAAATGTTGTTGGTAGCACATATGTACAACAAAATATATTTTCAGGCCTTCTACTTACAAATTTGTGGAAGTAATTTTTTTTTTCTGTTTTTCCTGTGTTCTAGGATCTAAGTAAAACCCCAAAGTTTTTTTTTTATGAAAAAAAAAAACGCATTAAAGGGTTAACCCTTAACAGTCTGCTTAACTTCCAGGTGAAGCTAGTTTAAGAGAAAAATCTTATTTAAATTGAGTAGAAATTCAAATTTGCACAAAATTGCAATATCTGATTCAACTAAACATATGTTAAGCTCCCACAGCTACTGAAAAAAAACACTACATGGAGATATCATCCTCATAAACACACCATTTCCAGGTGCTGCATTGTTACAAGTTGTATTTCCATAAGCACTCCTCTTTTCTCTCCCTGTTTACCATTTATTTTGTAAGGAATTACAATTTTCTATGCAGTATTAGATCTCTTCAAATTTAAAGAGTTCAATGAACACATATTCAAATTTCCAATCATCTAGATGCAGGCATGAAAAAAAGGCATATTAGAAGTATCATCTAAAAATGATGTAAACAAAATACTACCTGAAGATATTTAAACATCTAAAGAAATTACATTTTAGTTTTGAGCTAAGCTAAACCTGCAATAGCTTTTTTTTAAAACACTATTATTTCCAAGAGTAGAATTAAAGTACTATGTAAATGGGTGCTCCTAGATCCCATTATTAGGTTAAAATTTTCCTTTCTTATATATACCTTTTCAGTAGAAACTTCCCCGTTCCCTAAGTGGCTGCATAATCTTGTCAGTGGATCAGGTCAAATTCACCTCCCACATGAGTCTATGATTCTCCATGGGTGGGCCTCACCTTAGTACCATATCAGCTAGCAAAAATCAAGGAAAAACTAGACACACAACTAGACAAAACTAGACATATGTTATGTAAGAAAAAGGTGAGGGCAGATCAATAGCCTGTCAGTGGGGGTCCTTCCATGAAATCGCATTCATCTCTATTATATATGTACGAGGGTGGGCTGACAAGTAGTGAGCCTACCTATGAAGGAGATTACACAGGTACCTCCTTCATAGGTAGGCTCACTACTTGTCAGCCCACCCTCGTATGTAAGTGTGTAAAAATGCTGGATGGCACTCTTCCACAAGTAACTTTCATGCAAGTATACTTGTGTGAACCTTTTAAGAAGGTTTTTTCTTATAACCACAAGCTATGCAAAACTTATGGCAAGCCATGAATCTTTTCCTTTTTTCCATGGATATGAGGTATTGGGGGTTTTAGTCAATCAAGATCTTGTCTCAGTAATAAAAGCACCCAAGTTACACACTCACCAGCAGGTGAGAAGGATTTTTCCTCCAGCATACTGACCAAGCCATCAATGCTTGTTATGAGCCCTTTTAAGGATGAGTCCTGGGTGTTCAACTCCTGGAATATCAGAAAAATCACAACCCAGATGAGAATATACCTATCCTTGTCTTGGATGTGAGGCTTGCAAGAGATTCACTGACCACCAAAGACTGCCGGAGTTGCTGAAAAATACTCTGACCAGTCTTCACCTTCACCTTCACCTCCACTTTAGTTGGCTTTTCCTCCCCTTTACTTCCATCTTTCTCCTCCTTCTCTGTTTCATTCCCAGCCTTCTTTTCTTCCTGATTCTGTTCTTTCTTCAAATCCCATGATAGCACTTCTCTCAGATGATGAGGTGAGAGAACCTTGGTGCGTAGGGGTGAAGGACCAAGGGGTTCAGGATCAAGCTGAGCCAAAAGACGCACCAGTTCAAGGACAGTGCTAAGGATAGATAAATGATCTGAATTCTCTCTATTGAAGGAAAGGCTCAGTCGTTCCAAAGTTTCCAGCAATGCTGCAGGATTCTTCTTCAAACTCCTGTAAAATCCACAGAAGAATCAGGGTGTCAGCTGAACAGTTACCTCATTTCCATATGAAAGGAAACACAATTAACATGTTGCATAGGTTAGCTGGATGGTACAAACTACCAATATTAACCATCATCATGAAACAATGAGATTCAAAATCATCATCAGTCATTTTGCATCTCTCCCATTTGGTATGAGACTGTTGATACATCATCTCTAAGGAATAAAAGTGGAGGAGGAAACACCATTGATATTGATAGGTAGTGTAGTGTTACTGACCCAGCTACAATATTGCTTCCATCTGTGTTTTCCTGCATCACACTCAAAATATATAATGACACATGTAGAGAATAGTGAAGTGCATTCTTACAAAAATATGGAATAGACTCCATAGTCTGAGTCAGTGATCATGACAAGAGTGCGAAGAGCCATGATGACAGCTGACTGACTGTAGCCAGCCCCAGAGTCCCCAATCAATGTTAGTAGGGCATCCAATATCATGTTCAGCTGCTCTGATGGAGGCATGAAGTTCAACGGGGCTACAAAAAGAATGAAACAGATAGAACTTCTGAACATTTACATAGTGGTGTTCTTACACCTGTCAATCCCAAATGCTCCAGTCTAGTTACTTCAATGTTTCTACACATCACACCAAATGAGCATGGCTATCAACCAAGAGACTGAAAATCAGGCTCTAGAAAGGGTAGATATGGCCTCTCAAATAGCCTGAAGCATGTCAGACAAAAACATGGAATGGATCTCATACACAGCCATGACTCATACACCTCATCCACCAGGAATCATGGTGTTTACTATATACCAGGCTAGGAAAACCCTTGCGAAATTGTGAACGAGGTTCGCGGGAACAGAGACATGCAGGCAGGCAGCCCACTTGGTCTGCTTGCATATCCTTCCCAGGAAATTCCAATTTGTTGCCTCAGGGTCACAGGAAAAAAATTTTTTTTTCCTACATTGCTATATGCTACTGAAGCAACTCAAAATTCACCACCTAAATTTAATCAAAGCTCTAACGCCATATGAAGGTACCAGCTTACAAGTCAATTTCTATATGACAGAAAACTCTTAATACCATCAGTGCATATGGCAACTTCAGTGTCACAGAGAGTCTGCAGGATGCTGATGACACACTCTGGAAGGTTGGGCTTTGATCCATGATTCACAAGCACTTTGGTGAGGATGCCCACAAAGTCCTGGAACTTCTCCTCAGTCCGTGTTGTCTGCAGAGGAGATAAACAAGAAGGGAGAGGGGAGATGAAAAACCAAATTGTCATCAAACATTCAACTTCCTAAGGCTGCTTCTATATTTAAAACAATACACTCTGATTCTTCAGACATACATAGAAGAAGAATTAATTCCTTTTGCATTTGTCAATGAGTTAATGACAATCTGTTATCAAGGTAAAATGAACTAAGAGGGGATGTACAGTCAACCCTTGATATAGTGCCACACAATATACTGCCACTCTCACTTAGTGCCAACTCTTTCCTGAGAACGAATCTTCCCCATAGGCTTATCATTGGCGCTCCCCTGTTATAGTGCCACCCTTGCAAGCTGCTATCTGCCAATACCTTAGCTTGCACAAACGTGCCTTATTCAACGTAAGTTGTACTCGATATAGTGCCAAGCAACATATTGTACCAGCTACGATGATCAAACCATACACTACTGTGGTGGAAAAAAATAACATGCTCTCAGCCTTTCTTTTTTGATCGTTTGATAATGAGATTGTGAGGGATGACTTAGATTTGGCAGGGATGCCAGGGATTAGAGGGGGGCGCAAGAGGTTTCTTAATCTGACCTAATCCTGCCTCTCCTTTTCCTTTTGGAGAATGGAAACACCAGTTTCCATTCTCCAAAAGAAAGGAGCCTCTTTCAGCCAAAAGAAATCCTCTTTCAGTTCAAACATTCCTCAGATGATTGTTTAAGTTCCCCATTATCCAGTAATGGGGAAAAGGACAGTTATAAGTGTGAGGGAAAAAGTGGAAGTGTGTCGTTACAAGGAGGCACATGCGGCCGAAAGACAGCAAAACATTGGGAATCATTTTTCAAAGCTGTGTAGTTTTTGTTCTCCATTGGCAGCATGGATGAATTAAAGTGGATTTTTTTGCTAATTCTATTATATTTTACATTTGAGTTATTTAGGAAATTTTCTGTAAAAAACTGCACTTTTCTATATAGCGCCAAAATCGGTGAAGACCAACAGTGGTGGTAAATCAAGAGTTGACTGTACATGGATTGTATACAATAATGTAAGTAGACTCTATAAGTACACTTCATTCCCACAAAACATGACCTTTTCAAGTCAACACTTAATGATTCCAGAACCAAATTCCAATTCCTCTTACTATTCTAGGTTAAATAAAGTTAAAAGGTGCTGCTTCTGCTCTGATAGAACAATATATGGAGAGAGTGTCTTTTCCTCCCTCTCAGAAGTAATAAGTTAAAAAAGCATCAAGAACTGAGAAAATGTTATTTCTTGACTCCACTGTTTCAGTATTCAGTACATTCATTTCATCCACTCCTAGCTGAAGAAATGGCTGAAGTCAATTTCAAAGTATTTGCACACTCTCCAAGATTTCAAACAAATCACATGAACCTTTTTTTAATTTAAATAAATGTCATTTAAATGAATCAATTATTCAGTAAAAACCCAACATGGAAACCACCATCACCATCAACCACCTCACACCAAAAGGGATTGTCAGGAAATGGGGAATAAACCTACTATATCTTAGTCATTTGAAAAACACATCAGCCAATGAAAACAGCATCTCCAATGAACTTTTTCCTTTTTTGTGGCATTTGTTGGCCTTTAGGATCTTTGGCCCAAAAGGGCATGGAATTCACAATTCTCTCCTCTAGTAATACAACTTGCAAGCATATGCTATTTCCAACTTATAAAAATATTGCTACAGACATTATTTTTAGCTGATTTTTTTGTTCAATGCAATAACAATTGTGAATGTGTTTTCTTTGTAACACATTCAAGTTTCATACTCATGGTGCCATGGTACAGACAACTGCTATCTCCATGAATATGAATAATTATGGCATCCCAACAAGAGAACCTTTAGTCAACATGCTGACCTGCAGGACTGCCACCTTGACAGGGGGTGCTCCAATGATGGTGCCAAGAAAGCTGAAAGCTTGGACCAGGGCCTTCTCAGCTGCAGATGAGTCTACAGGGGGCTGGTCACCTGCACTAAGCTTGAGCACAATATCCATGGCACATCGGGCAACCAGGAGGGCCATTGTTGGGGCAAGATCAGCCAGTTGGGTTGCAGCACGACGAAGCAAGCTCTGCAGAATTGTGCTGCTGCTTGTACACAATGTGCCAATGACCTAGGATAAAATGATAGGAATCAATTACTTCTAAAGTATATGCAGCATTGGGCTTCCATCATATACATCTCTCATGAAAGAGAAATACTTACTGCATAATTTTTAAAACTCATTTCAACCATATGTACAATATAGAGGTGCAAAGGAATTCGTCAGTAAACCTGAAAGGTATTGACCACTTGAGTCGGTATGATAGGTATCATCTGTCATGGCAAAATTCTCCCTAGTTGGGTTTCACATACATATATGTCACACGATTATTTGAGTTTGAGTATTCAACTCAAACTCAAACTTGAAACTCAAAATAGGAATATAAACTCAAAGAAGAACAGTAAATTTCTGCACACAAACACTAATTATTACTCTCCTGAAAAAAATCCTCACTCTGGTGGTAGGCTTCTGCCTGAGAAATTCCCCCACTTGAGGTATTAAGGAAGGGATATTAATTCTGATTATCCAAGCATAAGTAGGAGAGAACATCAGGCCTTTAAAACCAATTTCTGCAATGTACCAACTCAAAAAACATTAAAAAAAAACTCTTCTCATAAACTTGTTATGGGGTAATGCCATGAAAAAGAGAGAACAAGTTCTTGTTCACCATTAACAAGAAATCTCAAACTACAAGGATCAAGTTGATTATGAGGGTGACTCAAATGAAAACAGAACATTGGTGATTGTAACACATGAAGTATATGGGACCAGGTAAATAGTATTTTATAGCATTCTGTCAAATGGTAGCAGCACAAAAATTCATAATTTGGATGAAGCTGCTATCCATGGCCATTGCAGACAACTTTAAAGATGGTGATAGCAGGTATGGAGTGCACCAAAGAAGAGATGCATTTAGCAATCCATTTTTTGGTTGCAGATAGCATAAATGGCAACAAAACTCATCCTAGTCAGCATGTATCCTAATTGGGACAGGTGTTGCTAGTGCCATCTTGTAGTGATGCCAGTGGCAATCATGCATATGGAAGACCTAGTCCAGCGAAAATGGTACATTACCATTGATGCAATTGCCACCCAGATGAACAGCAATCATGGTTCCACACACCACATACTGCATGAAGGGCTATGTATCAAAAACGAGTGTGCATAGTAGGTCCCATGACAGTTGACCAACGTAAAGAACCAATGACTGGCAAAGGTAAAGTCATTGAAAAGCTTGGATTTGAGACGATTCCACATCCCTCTCATAGCATGACTTCACACCATGTGATTATTACCTGTTTGGACCTCTTAACACTTTTGCTGCCATTCATGCCATATGGTGAGTTCAGTGCAGTGAACCACCACTGCCATGCTTGGCTAGGAGAGGTTGGCTGGGCCTCAGCAGTCAAAGTGCTAATGAAGTCCTTGGTGGACAGAGATTCAGGTCAGACAATGAGGTTTAAGAGACAATGCAATTGTAGCTTCAGGAGCAGCCAAAAGCTTTCTTCTCCACAGGCATCAGGATTTTGATGGGATGGTAGCATAAATGTATGGACAAGCAGGGAGACTATGTAGAAGAATGATGCATTAATCATGACTATTGGATTATTGATAAAGGTAATTTCCTTCTATGTCCTGTTTTCATTTGACTCCTCCTATACAAATGTTTCACCTGCTAAAGGATCAGAGTATGATAAGTACATGGATAGGAATACTGACAAGAACTCTTGCTAGAATTTTGAGGGCATTTATGAGAAGGTTCATGCAGCTTTCATGCAGGCCCTTTTTTTTCACTCATCTGTGAAATGCAATAGAAGTATACACTCATTTAATGGAAATTTGAAACAAACTCTTGAAGATCAATGGGATATCTGGAAACTGGTCCATGGGGATGATACAATCATTTTTTTCTACAGTTGTGTTGGCATGGACATTTCAGTTAGAGGATAACATAAGTTGCAGCAGCTCCTGGTCAAGGAAGCCCATCATCTTCAGTTTCTCCAGCAAAGATTGAGAAAGCAGAATGTTTCAGAAAATCAACAAGAAAATAATCAACAGGAAAATCAGCTAAATCTACAAGCCTTTGCTTTCTCAACATTTGTCGGAGAAACTGATGATGGCCTTCTCCAATTTTTGGTCCTCACTGAAGTCTTAGTGCCAGTGTTGAGGTCAGGAAAGTTGCAGTCTTCAACCCCATAAAGCTGTTTCAAGAGTTCTTCCCAATTTTGCACTGGATGGATTGTACATGACTGCTGCATCTTATAGATGAGTAAATAATCTTTCATGTGAAGCATCTGAAGCATCATTTCATAAATTAAGCTAAAAAAAAAAGCTGATCTAGACTATAGAGTGATCTTTTACCTTAGCTCTAAATAAAAAAGCAAAACTAAAAAAATGAGCAAAAAAGAAGGAAAAAAAAGACAAAACCACCCTCAAATGAGAGTCAACTATATATTTCAGTACCAGGGCTTATATCTAGAAGAGGTTTCTTTTCATCTTCAAGGTATTCCCAATAATCAGGTTCTGCTATCATGGGGTACCATCTTCTCAGAATAACTCATTGGTCCAATCTCTCTGAAGCCTAAACACCTTGCTCTCTTTTCAGGAAGCCCTAGGCATCTAGGCAAGCTGAAGCCATCACTGATTTTGTCAATGAGACAAAGAGACAATGAGAGAGGTGTGCAATGCTTATCTTTTGTCTTTCCAATATGGATGACTTGAGAAAAAATAAACTCTGACTTCCAAAATGACAATTTCTACCCAGAGACCATAACTTCAAGAGACCAAGTGCTAATAATCACCAGATAAGTTTCAAACCTACCTGTGAAAGCAAAGGTGCTAAGCAATAGAGATGAGCTGTCCACAGCTTGCGGTGACTCAGGGCACGGCTTTCATCTTCTTCTGACAGGGGTATAATGGTCTGTATTGGCAAAGGTAGTGGAAGCAAATCACAGAGAACCTAGGAAAAAAATCAGATTCCAATACAGCCAAACACAAAAAAATTCAAAGTAGGCTCTATTGGCTTGACTATATCAACACCTTTTCTTGTTTTTTTTTTTTTTGCTTTCCTAATGAGATGTCCAAAGGTGAAGAGAAAAATAACTCTTTCAATAAATCAACCTTGGCCCATACCAATCTTTTCATACTAAGCCATTTCCTGTCTGAACAATTCTAAATGCTTGCATCTCTGGATTCTTTTGAATACAGTGAACTCTTGATAACTCGAACCTCTTTAATTTGAATTTCTTGCTAAATTGAAGAAACTATGTTTCCCTTTGAAAGTCCCATAAGGACAATTAATTTTTCCCCTCTGTCGACCAATCATGGGTGTGCCCAGTCAAAATTTTTTCTTGATCTATCATTGTCCCATAACTGGGGCGGTTCACTCATTTCCGGTGGCTAATTGAGCCAGTCAAATCACATTTTTGCCATAGTTGCATCATTCATTATCCCTTCACTGGGCGACACATGGCACCAGCGGCATATGTGCAGTTAATGGCCTGAGAAGGTTCCAAAAATCGGCATGACATGCAGTTTAAGTGGTCATAGTTGCAAGTCACTTCCCAGATTCTACTGAAATGAGTCACCTATACATTCGACACATTTCCCTACGGTTTCCCACAAAGATTTCAGAGGAATAAAATGGATTTCCTCTAAACATTTCTCGGAAGATGTAACCCAGTCAGGATAAACCAGGGCATTTCAGCCCCTGAGGTTGGGGTTGGTGGGAGGATACTCTACACTTACCACTATGGGTTGAAATGAATCAAATGAAAATTGTTCGACTGTGCGTGAACCTCAACGAATAGAATTCAACGTGATTGCGCATTTGGAAAACATAGTCAGATGCGAAGGTGCAGTGAAAACACGCCAAACTCTTCTGACTGACTTTTACCAGTGATTGTGTTAAATGAGGAGGTGTTAACATGTTTTGGAATACTGAATACATGCATTTACATCTTTGTAGCGAATAGAATCTACAAACTTCCATAACTCAAATGTCCCTTGGACTTTGAGTTATTGAGAGTTGACTGTAATTAAAACTGTTTTGACAAATACAATGAAAATTGTTTAGAGCAAATGAATTAAAATGTCAGAAAATCCAGGCATTCAGCTAAAAGAAACAGGAACTTAAATTAAAACTTAAATCAAAAGATTTCCCTTAATTTATTATTACACTGCATAGACTCTCAATGTGAGGAACATGTCATATTCAATAAACTTGTACTGAAGAGTCTTTCTATGACTGACATGTCTGATGGGATTTTTATTCTGATATTGGTAACAAGGTGCAAGGAGCTTCTGGTACTTGTATATTTAGAATTTCAGAAATTGAGATCAGTATTTCTGGGAATCCTTTCACAACCAAATAAGAAGCCTATCCTCTCAGAAAAAATGACATTGCTGAATTGAAGGCATTAAAATTTTTAAATGTCAAAGCCATTCATTTCCACATTCTCATTTGGCATAAGGAAAATTGATGATATGGCTTCAGACTCCCCTGGATGTTAGCATACCTGAAGGCAAGGGATGTATGTGAAAGGTGCAGAGAGGATGTAGGTGAGGAGTTCCTTCAGCATTTGAGTCCATAAACTTTTCCCAACCTTTTCTTCTGACTCCTCTGCCTCAAGGACAGGTTGAGTGTATGTTAGGAGAGCACCAACAACATTCCGTTGTATATCCCCCACACACCAGTGTGCCATGCATGTGTTTGGGTATGCTGATGCTAGAGTATGGGCCTAAAATATGTCAAGAATACATAAGTGTTAATAGGAGATATAAAAGTATGATCAAGTATAAAAGTACCCTCAGGAATAGGGAGCCCATTTGCTTGCATTCTTTATCATATCTTGCCTCAGGGGGATAATTTTTCTCAAATGCCTTGTCTAAACAGAAATGAACTCTCAAACTTGATTTTAGTTATAAAAAGAGAGGAATATGTTCATATTATAACTAGAAATTTTTATTTGAAACAAAGAGGGTAAACATTGAAACATGGACCCAGGTATACATCAGTTCTTATATTTGAAAAATGTCATGTTTCATTCTCCAAAAAAAAAACTTTCCATGAATGTATCTGATCAAATGCCTACTAAATGTGAACTTAATTGAAGAATGAGCTTCATAATACATTCATTTTCATAATAGGCTTCCATAGGAATATCAGTTTCATGATTCTACATAAAAGCCCATAAAAAATTGAAAAGATTTCAGTTACAGGGATTTTAGGCATGTTACCCATTGTTTCCTCTTTGGAAAATGATAAAAAGTACAGGTCAGATTCAGAAGGGTGAGTCAATGTTTACCTGAAGCAGTGGCACAACAGCTGAGAGATCAGTAAATTCTGTTCCTCGGGCTTCAATGACATGAGCCAGAAGTCTTCTCATAAGCTCAATAGTGGATTTCATTGTCAGAAGAAGTTCAATGCCTCTTGTGGACACAAGGACAGATGGGACCGCTGATGGCTGTTCCCACTGAGTTGCCATTCGAGTCACTGCACTCGTCAGTGCTTGTAGCAGATCACCAGAGAACATTTGAACTATGGCATATTTGTACTTGAGTTGCACATGTCGCTCTTGTGATGCCAGGAGACTTTGATCTGGTTCCCGACTCAGAAAGCATAAGATGCGGAGACACGTGCAAAGGCCTGGAGACAATGCCCCTAGAAGAGATCATTTTCCTTTTTTACAATGCCACATAGTGATAGCTCTGAACATTAATCAAAAGTTATCTTCATCCTTTCCTTCATCATTGTCACAAGTGCCTATATTACATCATGAAAGCAAATGTGAAACTAGTATTAAGAAAAAGAGAAAAATTTGACTTTCTTCAAGTCCATAATTCATACCATTCATATAATCTGTTGCAAAGTGGTTAACCCATTGACATTGAATTACAAGATAGTCTTGTAGTCTGAGTGACAGGGCATTCCATAGACCAACAAGATATCACACAAACTATAAAAACTAATGAAATTTTCTTAAATTAACTGCTGATATATGGTACTGAGCTACTGAAAAATGTCAATGCCAATGGGTTAAGACTACAAGGTTAGTCAAAACATAGTAACCATTGGAAGAGATGCATGTGCCATCCAGCAGCTTCTTGGTGACTTCACATAAACTGGGGATCTCATCATAACCGAAATATTCAGCTCTGTCCACAGGCGTCAACCATGAACTAAGGGCATTTATGGCTGGGGGTACATCTTCAGCCCTAGACAATTCCAGGAGTCGTTGGCCATACATCTCCAAAAACAGCACACTATCACTGAACTTCACAACTGTGGCCAGAATGTCAGTTGCATATCCCCTACAGTCATGCAAAAAAATAAGAAACATTTAGGGGAGATAATCATAGATATGAATGTCCTTTTCATCTTCAATGGATATTAACACATTGCGGATGGGTCACGTAGAAAGCTGTGATTGTCCGTTCTGGATATTTTACAACAATTTACAAAAATAACCACATTAATTGAAAAAACACATCTTTTCACACAAGTACATATAATGCACTAGAGAGTAGTGGCTTGGACATCAGTAAGATGATGCGCAAAAATGTAGTTCTCCATGTTCCGTCCTCAATGCCTGCTGGTGAAACATGGGAATTCTTGTGATCTGTCCGCAATGTGTTAAGATACCATATCAGTAAACAGTATATCTGAAGTAAGAGGTACCAAGAACACCATCATGATAGAGCAAAGGAATTGAAAGAAATTAACTGCTATGATTACATTCAAATTCTGATAACACACTATCTAAAATTGTTTCACTTCAAATAGCAAGCTATCATACAGTCATAAGCTTCTGACAAGTAGAAAAAGACAAGAAATGATGAGCATTGCTCTTAACTGGAGATACTTGACATGATAGCAGGGGAATTTCTTGACGTAACACTACAGTCAGGGTAAATTCATAGCAATTTTGGTATTCTGATAATACAATACAAAAATTGAAAGGTGATCTACTGATCAAGTACATTTGCCTATTGACAAGCAGATGAAATTTTCAGATGTTTCTTTTCAGATTCCCTCTGTGCAAAAAATTGAGAGGGTACATTCAACAACAGATAAACTTGACAGGGACTTCTGGCACCATCTGACACCTGTGTGATCCTTCACTTTAGACATCATTCATCTGTCATTTCATATCTTAAGTCTTTCTCAATTCTTCATATTTCAGCAGTTCACTTAACATTCTCATCCAAAGTGAGTGACATACCCTATGGCAATTTTACCAGCATTAAATACAGGGTTTGGGATGGTGAATTACAAATTAAAATGCTTTCCAAACTCATATCCTTCATTAGAGAATCATGATATAGATGAAGGCTTTTGAAATATTTAAAAACTCTAATTATAAGAATGTTCCTAGACAGAAATTTTTAGACACTGACTTCTATCTATACTTCTTATATACATTCCAATTTTAAGATGGTTATAAGTAAAGAAAAACCTAGCAGGGTCTAAATCCATCCATACAATAAATTTACAGATAAAAATTGGATCAGGAGAGACGCACCGACAAGCTGACTTCTTCCATCCCAACTCAAAGAAAGGGAGCAATGCAAGGACATTGTCAGCCAGGGGGATGGTGTTGATCAAAGCAAGCCTCCCATGATGACTGAACAGAAGGGAATGGAGACTTGACAAAGCCTGTACAAAATCTGGGTCATCCACCTGTTTATTTGGACTGTTGTGGGCCACAAACAGACAATCTAGCTGCTTCAATACCTGCAATTTAAATGAGTGTAAGGATGTAAATAAATTTACATATACATACCATTAGTCTTGGTATGCCAAAATAAATTCATATTGTGTCCATTTATCTTACATGAAGATTGAATGCCATTTGTAGGCCAATTTGTTGGGGGTTGAAGACTGAGTCATCTGGGGTTTCAAATGGAAGGTTTACAAGCATTTTGATGAGGGCAGTTGTTGTGTCTCCATTGGCACTCAGATAAAGTATTCCCCTTTGGGACTGTAGAAGGGTCAAAAGGAAGTCACAGATGCGGCTCAAGATGGCCTGATTTGATGCTGTCGATGGACATGTCAGTAGGGTCAGCATAGATTCCAGAAGATACAGGGACTGTGAAAACAAAGGGAAAAGGTAAAGAAGTCCACATGTATTAAGCAGCATTCATCTATGTAGAGCTAGTTCAGGAATTTTTCTAATGAAATTTTAGACATGGAATTTTACTTTCCTATTAAATTCATGTCAATGCACAGTGGTTCAGAAGTTGTTGAAAGCGAACCAAAAGTAAAAAAAAAAAGAAGTTACAATAAATAAGCAAGTTTTCTACATTTTAGAACTAGGGATATCCAAATATCATTAAAAATCTCAAAATTCGTTTTCCCTTTTTCAAGTGATGCAGTAATCACTTAAAATTTTGGAAACTTCTTGACAGACATTGATGTGTTTTTGCAATAGTCAGTTTCCTGGAAATTTTTATATTTTTATTTTTAAATTATCATGGAATGATGTGAATGAGTAGAAAGCAGCATTAATAAAGGCTTCAAATATAACATGGCTAAATTCTTATTTCTATTAAGAAAAATTTCACGTGACAATGAGGAGCAATACCTGAAACATGCAAAAGAGCCCAAAGTAAGGATCATGGGTCTCAGAAGGGACAGTGAATTGTGAGGTTGCTGGTAGAATTCGGCCTGGTTGTGCAATGAGGTCTCCAGCATTTTTGTACACCTTCAGGAGCTGAAGTAGAGCAGAAGATATGAGGTCTATGTCACTAGAAGGGACCTTCACTTTCACTTCCACTTGCTGGGGGGAAGACTCCCCACCATCTGAATCAGATGTTCCATCTGCTGTTGGCAGTTGCATGCTGAGTATATCTTCAGTCAGGGCCTCTACCTGTAAAAGAAAAACAGAGAGATGGAAATCTCTGACAGGTAGGCCTACTGAAAGTTCTCTGAGTCAGTTAAGGTTAGCTAAAGATGGACTGAAATTCATGCTGCATTGCAATTTTGTTTCAGAACTAGCTTCACTTAGACTGCTCTTTTGCACCTTTCCTCAAGAATTGATCTCTCAGTGGTGATTCAACAACAAGATGAATATATTTTTATTGCATAAGCTTAATTATTTTTCGTGAATAAGGTTTAAGATTTGCCACAAATGAATGCCATTTTACTGCAATCACTGCAGTAAAATGGCATTCATTTGTTACATCCATCAGCAGGAAAGATAGTCCATAGTCCCTCTCATTGGTAGAGAGTTAAAAGAGCATATTCATTTTCTTGGCCTAGTTATCTAGGCTGTATCATGCTGAGCTAGTAGGGTGCATAAAAATGGCCAAGTACTCAGGCAAGCCATTCAGTTTTCCTTCCACTCTAACTTCTGTATCTACAGGATCTTTCCCCTGATGGAACTTGCTCAAATAAAGACATCCCAGAGCCTGCAATTGACCAGGCTCCCAACTTCATGTCAAAAATGTCATTTGTGATGTATGAAAAAGGTGACACATCCATAAAATGTCTCTGTCTTTGCTATTTCTGTAAAACACTTTACTTCTTGCATCAGCTATGGTTGGCCAATTGGAGGGGCTTGCTTCAGCTTGGGTGAAAAGTCTGCCAAAAACTTATCTCCAATGAGGAGCCCCCTGTTCTTGCTGTGGACAGGTCATATTAGAAACCACTTGGTCAAAATGAAACACAGTGACCTCCTTGGACTACCTTTACTCTTATGGTAGTACCAGAATCTCTGCTTCAGTAAAATTGAAAATAATTGTCTGTAGGAGGAAAACATTCTTCTGTGAATGGTAAACACGATGTCTTACCAAAATCAGGTTTATGCCTAACCACTTCTTACTTTTCAATAGTATTTCATGAAAGCTTCCCAAAGATATTCTCATCAATAACCAGAAAAATGTATATTTTCATCCACTACATCAAGACTATGCTTTATACTTCTACCACATTCTTGGTTCTCCTTTTAGTATGAAGCCACCTCCAAAGACCTTCATACACACAACATAGGCACCAATTGATTTAAAAAAAAAAAAGATTGAGGAAACCATAACAGGAACACATGAAGAACCTCTTGTCCTTTTCCATTGACTCTCCAAAATTTCAAAACCTTTCTTCTCCTCAGCATATAGGTAGCAACACTATCATTACATTGACTTTTAGAATAGTTCTTTAGAATAGAATTAATGAGGAATATAGGAAATGTTGTCCCATAGAATATCAATCTACTCTCCCAATGTCGAGAAATCTGAAACAAGCAAGAGACCTTTCTGCAAGATTTTATAGGCAGAATCAGATTGGCACAATGGAGTGGTGCAGCAATCCTACAACAATCTGCTCAAAGGAGCAGAACCTTGGTAAAGTTATGACCAACCACAGAGGATGTTTATATCATTGCTGCTACTGAAAAAGATAAAAGAAAATGCATAGCTTCAGGTAACAGGGTCAATTGAACTCCTAGGTGTAATATCATCCAACACTTTGCATAAGGCAAAATTCTTTTCATTCACATGTGGATCCACCTGAGAAACAATCACAGGGATTAAATAAATAAAAATACAGATGCTTCATATAAATATGCAACTGTATATGCTCACAAACAAATGAGAGATATTCAATCAATTAGGTAAAAGTCTATCTGGTTGGACAAAAGGAAGCCTTTTTTTTTTTTAGCACCTATTGTTAAATTGCCTACATCTGAAATGCAAAAGTTTTAACTCCCAGATTCTTTTCATAAAGGGATTCTTGAAAAATGAAAATCCTTGAATTTGACAAAATATTCTTCACTATGAAAAATATGATGAGACTTATACTCACCCTGGCAGTCATTGTAGTTAGGAGCTCATAAAAATGTGTCTTTTGCAGAAGACGCATAATTGCCACTTTGGCTCTTGTACCTTGACAGTTTTCAAATAACAACTTCAGTAGAATTTGATAGGGAGTCAGAACATCATCATCATCTTCATCTTCATCATCATGATCACTTTCAGCCTGAGTGAAATCCTCTCCAAGTTCTCCACCACAACCAGAATCTTCCCGCAACCGCTGACGTGTGACTCGGCCAAGGAAAAGGTCCAACCCTATGTGAAAAGTGGATCCTATAATCTCTGTGCTTCATCAAAAAGTGAAAGTTACAAGAGTACACAAGGATACAGTGGTCAATAAATACCCAGGAGTATTCTTAATACTCCCAGATTCTTATTCAAACAGAATTATTTTTTCTGATATGACCATAAAATGACAATATTAGGAGAAAAAAAGTCCACTTTGCTTAGAAGGAGCATACTGCTATAAGAAGAATTCAGACTTCCTGATTCTAGAACATTAAAAAAATCCCATTTGAAATCTCTGAAGAAGTGCAGGGATGAGGTGGTCCTAATTGCTGGTCTTTGGTCTGTACCAGTGGATCTGTAAAATGGCACCTTGAGAGCTCCTTTCACAACTTCAAGTTGTTTTGGGTCAAAGTCTTTGTATGAGGTACACTCAAAAAGTAGTAATCACTGCACACAGCTCCTTCACCTTTCCAATAACAGCATAGTACTGCTGAGTACTTTAATAACCACGTTTCTTCTAAACCTGTACATAATTTTGGCTTTTCATCTAATGTCATTAATATGTTTAAAGTCTAAAATGCTTGAGATCTGATTGATGGAACTGATTAAATATGGCTAATTCTTCAAAATAGGAACAAAGTGTTATCATGAAATCTTTCACCTTAGCACCCAGCAGTTCCAAATTAGGCGCAGCATTGTTGATCGTTAATTGTTCCTCTTTTGAAAAATTAGTCACATTTAATCAGTTGATTCAGCTTACTATGCTTGAAAAGTCAGGTTAAAAAAATTAAGGAAAGATACAAAGTGGGTATTTCACACAGATGCAGATGAAACATATGCATTAAAGCACTTGGCATTACAGTGCTGCCAGTAGAAAGCTGATGGAGCTGTACTGCAGTGATCACTTCTTTTTGAACATATCTCATATTACAAACTACACAAGCTATCATTGAAAATTTCCTTCAGAGCAAGATTTCAAGAATCAATGATAGTGACACGCCCATCATACTCTCAAATAGTAAACTCATGACCAGGCTATTTACATAATAGTTCTTCACCATGGAATAGCTTAGCATTGGATATTGTTAAAATTGGAGGAAGATATGTAAAAAAAAAACAAACATGTAACTTCCTCTTGAGCACAGATGAACTCACCAAGTTTTGTGGAAGTGGTTGCATCAAGAGCCTTGAGTATCATAAGTTTTAGAGGCAGGCCCATGTGGGGTTTTCCATACAGATCAAGGAGCCGTTCCTGGATGCCCCACGACAGCAGACGTCGAGCCAAGACCCGATTGCAAGAGCACAGAGCCTGAGCTAGTCTAACACCTCCTTTCATATGACGAACCATGTATGCTGGAAGCTCCTGCTTCAATGCCTTGTCAAAGTCCAAGCCTATATCAATCCATTCCAGCAGGGTATCCAGAACAGCTACAGTAAAAGGAAATTAAAAGAATATCAGCTAGAATTACATCAGAAAGGCAAATGAACTTGGGATTATCTGACAATTCTCAATAATTTTCAAAGTGATTACCAATGACAACTTTTAACCCTTTCACTGTTTAAAAAAAAAGCCCTCACAACCTCCACTGTGTTATAAGAATTGCACTGTGTCTCTGCAAAAAATGGTTTAAGTTTAACTTGCCATATCTAGAAAACTATTGATGATAGACCAAAATGTGTTTAAAAATGTATTTCCAGGAACAGCCAGAGTATTATCAGAAAAGTGCAGAAATTTTGAGATGTGTATTAATATATTGACAGACATGATTTTACCAATAGCAGAGATGATAAAAAGTTGATCAGTTTCCAGCAAGACAGAATAGTAGGCTGTTTTGTGCCCATCAAAATCAGTGCCAAAATAAATGTATGAAATTCCTATAAAGAGAGGTTTTTCCTTTGTTTTACCCTTGAATATTCATTTAAAGTTGTGTTACAACTAAGGTCTGATGCAAATTTATGTTTCTGTTATTATACAGGGTGGGCCACAGAAAAGGAACACATTTTAAAAATTCATAACTTTTTTGTTACTGCAAATAGAAACATAGAATCAACTTCACATTGTTCAGACATTCATCAAGTTTTTGCCTGACTACATAAGATGTTCAAAATGTCCACCACTTTCTGCTGTACATTTGCAAATATGCATGACAAAGTTTTGCATTACCTTCTGAAGTGTTTCCTTCAAACACTTCAGAAGGTAATGCAAAACTTTGTCATGCATATTTGAACATCTTATGTCGTCAGGCAAAAACTTGATGAATGTCTGAGCAATGTGAAGTTGATTCTATGTTTCTATTTGCAGTAATAAAAAAGCAATGACTTTTTAAAATGCATTCCTTTTTTGTGGCCCACCCTGTATGTTCAAGGAGGTTTCCTTGAGCACATATTGCCAGGATCATATAAATTGACCGGGGTCATCTGTGAAAATTAGTTCAGAAACGTCTATCTCAGGGAGATTGTCTGGAATATTCATTTTCAATCCAAGATTTCCTGTAAAAGTCAAGAAATGAGTTGCATGGGAATTCTTGCTAAATTCAGGTACATCAACAGTTTTTCACCCCCTTGGTCTACCACTATTCCTGCTCGTATCTCCATTCCCATCATTGTAATGTTCATCTTTTTACATTTCAGCTTCAACTTCAATTTCTACATCACCTTCATTTTCACTACTAACACTGGAAATGCCAGAATCAGCATTTAAAATTATATTTATTTCATCTAATGCAAAATTAAGTGAGTAGGAAATCATTTTTACAGAATGGGTTGATAAAGATACTCACTTTATTTTTTTGTTATTCAATGCTTCTGAAAGTTAAATATGCTGACAAGAGCAGCACTGTTGCATAGAAAAGGATGTCTTATTTTCAAAAATGCCAAATGTATGTCAGTTACATCCATAAATAGGGGAGAAACAACCTAAAAGGACTGGGTTTCAGAGCCCAAGTACCTACTTGGGCTACCCCCATAAAAGTGTTGTGCGCAGCCCAAATACGTACTCAGGTTAACAGTGAAAGGGTTAAGAGTTCAGAAATTTGAATCAGATGGAGGAATCTGCCTTTTCATCTCAGTGAGACAGAAAGAGGAAGAAATTTCTCAATGTCGCAATATGCTTGCTAATAATTGGCACAATGAGGCTTGTCAGAAACACTCCTTCCATGAGGAAGATGGCCCTACTGTTACAAAGAGATATTATTATCAAGAGTCAAAGATATGTTAGGTCTCATGTCAACAAATTGGGCCAATCTACTATGGAAAATACTCAGAACCATTTCTTCCTCTGTTTTAATCACATAAAAAGAAAGTTGGGCTTTCATCCTTATGAATGAGTTAGTCCAAACATTCTCTGAATGTTTGAAAAGCTAAGATATGAGATTTGGCATAGTAGTACTAGGTGGACACAAAAGGCTGGAGGATACCAAATCATTTAATTTAAAAAGGAAAAGTTGCAGGATAATGAAATAAAATAAAACAGGACTTCTCAAGACTTCTTCTTTACCAGTGCTTTTATGTAACCTTCTAACTCTCCCAAATCAACTAATTCCATTTATTAAATGGTTCCCTGAGATAAAGACCTAAGTGGTGGTACATTGAGTTCTACAATAATACAATTTTCATGGCCTTACTTAAAGGAAAGTGTTTAATTGAAAATGCTTTTAATGAGTATGAACTTTTTTTTTGGGAGAATTTCAAATTTCTCAAATCTGTCAATCCATTCCAAATTGCATAGGTAGGATATCTCTACTAAATGCAAAGATATGGCCGGTTGAAATCCTCAAGTAATGTTTTAGCACTCTATTAGCATACACATTGCTTCAGAGTCAATAATAGTCAGGAGTCATATAAATAGCTATGCAGTACATCATATCAAGAACTTTCACCAGAGACTTTGTTGCCTCAGGTCATTATTTGGCTAGAGTAAAACACTTCCATATTGCCTCACTTTTAAGAAATAGGATGATGGAACTTCTGAGGTTGAAAAAGTGAATATAATGAGCTCTTCAAGAGATAAACTAATGACAATTCAAATGCAATGGCTCTGAAACATGCTCAAACACAGAACCTAAAAGGATGCAAAAATAACCTAAAATAAAAACAAACCAGAGCTTTGGGCATGATGTAGAAGATACGCAAGTCCCTGTGGCAGGTTGACAGCTGCATTTTCCATTGCATCAACCCATTTGTCATTAATGACAGCTTGCGGGAAGCTTTCCACCAATAATAAGAGTCTTTGAGCAGCTTTTGGCTTCTCTGATTCTCCTTCCTCTGGTGTTGCCAGAAGGAGTCTCCTGGTTGCATTCTCACATTCACTCAAACTTGGATCTTCCAAATACTTGTAAAGAAACAGAATATTAAGTCTTTATCAGGTATGATGGAAAGGAAATCATATTCTTTACAGCCTTTGCCAAAAACCTGAATTGCACAAATTGCATAAGCAGCCAAAGAAGAAGAGCTTCATATTCTATATGCAATAAGCTCATTCATGGCATACATCTAGAGGAAAGAAAAAGTTACTGTGATTGCATATTGATCTCTAGAAACATCAGATCAGATTAATGAAACCATTCAGCATCAAAATCATGTAACTATTATGATGCAGTTGCACCATTTTTCAGACTGGTTTACATAGATTTAATAGGCTACTCACCACCATGGGTACAATTTCAATGGCATAAGGATTGAATTGCTTGATGAGGTCTTCAACACCATCTCCTCCAGGATAATACTCCATATCCAGATCCTATGATCGTAAAGAAACAGTGGTAGTGCACCTTGTTGAAACGGATGAACAATTTTCAAATGATGAGGATATAAATGGTAGCTGATCTACTTTTATGCTGAATTCGAATAAACAGCAGATTGAAGGCTCTGAGTAATGAAGCAGAAACTGATAGACTACAATGCATAAAAGAAGAAACCATCTACATATTGAAGTAATTTAATAATGAATTATTAGTTCTTTCTTTTCTTTTATTAGTTCTTTCTAATTAGTTCTTTCTAAACTGGTCTTCTCTTTCTTTCTTCTCCTTTAAAAGCCTAGGATACTTTTTTTGAGACTACAATAGTTTGTAACTTCAACAAAAAAAATACACATATCAATCCTAATTTTCATGTCTACACCACATAAGAGTCCCTGGATGGTTCTTGCATCTGGCAGAAACAAGTGAGGAAGGTACAATCCCCTTAAATGATGAACCAAGGTAAGATCAAAAGCTATTCACTTTGAAAATCCCTTTTCTAAATTTTTAGAGACACTGTTTCCTTGGCACACCCCTACACCTAGAATTGATTCATCAAAAATTGATCAAGCTTTCAGAAGCTGCAAAGCATTATTCTGTTACCTACTGCAATGACCAAAGGAATGATTTCAAAGCTCTGCAATTTTAGGCATGAACTCATCCTCAGCAATCACAGAATACATCAAAGTAGAAAGCTAATCAAAACATAAAATATAATTAATGCTTCATTAGTATACCCACTTTTCACAAAGCTGCAGTTGACATTCACATATAATTAGAAAGTGCCACAGAGATATATAATTGAACCTCACCTTATACTTAGGTCATGGTGAATCAGATCCACAACAAATGGCTGTTCACAACACAGTCTCAAAAGTTTGAAGGATTCAGGAAAGGGGGGAATACCAACCACTACCTTAGAATTTGACTTATTTTTCAAATGCAGGGCACCATTGTTACCCCTTAAGTGATGCTCCTCACCTGTTCATAGTCGAGGTCATCCTCAGAGAGGATCTCCTCCACTTCTCCAACAAGTGGAGGTTCTTCCTCAATTCCAGTCAACTGACCTCCCTGTTTTTCATCTCCAGAGAAGCCTTTGATTGATGTCCCAGATGTCTCCTTCTCCTCTTCATCATCTACTTCCATCTCATCTTCAGATATTGCTTCAATTTCACCAGGAGAAAGTGGTTTCAGCACTCCCACTCCTGATTTTTCATGAATGAAAGTCAGCATTTCTGTTAATCCTGGCAAGAATTTGGTTACTGTGTTTCATGCAACACTCTTCACCAAGCCTCATTTCTGATCAGAGAAAGTGTCCCTACTTTCAAGCCTAAATCTATCTGCCACCTTGCCAAGCTGTCCCACCATGCTGAGGAATCAGTATATTTCCACATTGTACATTTTCTAAGACAATTTCACAACAAAAGTCAGCACATTTTGCAATTTTGGTACAACTATGGTTTGCAATCAATCACTGAACTACCAATTTGAACCAAGACTTGTGAGTGTCAAGATCAATTTTTATTGCTGTAAGGTAGACAATTATTATTAAACTTGAGAGAGCTAGTACCAGGTGCTTTGTGGGAGGAGCCAATATCTCCAGATATAGAATGAGGCGAGATAGTTTTTTCACTCGAGCAGCGAGGAGGCTCTGGAGTGTCCAGGCGATCACTTCCCATTCCTTCTCCAATTGATCGACCATCTTCTGAGGCCAAGTCACTACCTATCCTGTGTTCAGAAATGATTGAAAGAGCATTTACAATTAGTAAATTTCATTTCACTTTAAAAGCCCTTTTATGTCAGAAACAAGGAGATAAAATGTCAGATGGAAAAACAATCCATAAATCTATTTTTTCAGCCAATGGAAATGGCATTCAAGCTATGTCACATCAGAGGCATTTAAGATTTAATCACCAGACTCAGGTGCATGTTCTGAGCCATTATGGTGAAAAAAGAAATAAAATGTGATTTAAACTCAATCCTCTTGACAGATGTAGGACTTGGATTGATTCATGATTCAAGTGTGAAACTGGTTGTCTTGAAGGATGCCTCACCCCCCACCCCATGCAAGATTTGAAAGAGACAAAGAAAATGAAAAATGCATTTTTGGGATTTTCCGTCACTATTTCCTTTCTATCCTACTAAGTCATGCCTGCCTATCACTGTAAGGCAGAGACCTAAATGTGGTTCTAGAGAATTTTTTATTTAAATTTTTTTGTTTGAAACGTTGGCAATTCTGCGTTTAATTTGATGTAGGACAAGCCGCAGTTGTTGACAGAAACGTGATTGAAGATGGCAACCGATAAAGTGCACATTCGACACTGCATGTTATTCTAGTTTAATCTGGGCAAAACCGCTACAGAAGCGAGGGAATTGATTTGTTCAGCACATGGAGAGAGTGCTTTTGGCTGAAAGTACGTGCCAAGAGTGGTTCTGAAGATTCAAAAGTGCTGATTTCAATCTCATCGACAAGCCACGCTCTGAACGGCCTCAGGAGCTCCAAACCGACGATTTGCAAGCGCTGCTGGATGAAAACCCATCCCAATCGACTACAGAACTTGCAAAACAGTTAGGAGTCAGTCAATCAACAGTGCTTCGACATCTACACGAAATGGGAAAGATCCAGAAAGTCGGAAAGTGGGTCCCACATGAACTTTCCGAACACAGCATTGGACAGCGACTCAACACATGCATTTCGCTGCTTGCTCGTCAACAAAGGAAGAGTTTTTTGTGGAAGATTGTGACGGGCGATGAAAAGTGGGTGTATTACGACAATCCTAAGCGCAAAAAATCATGGGTGGACCCTGGCCAAGCAACGACATCGACTACACAACGGAACATCCACGGCAAGAAGGTCATGCTCTGCATCTGGTGGGACATGAAGGACGTGTAAATTGGTTTCAAAATAATAATAATAATTTGGTAAAATAAACTATGGAAACTTTTGCATACCCCTAATAATTATCACCGAGGAGATCACGAGTAGGATAGGAAAGCTAATGGCAGGAAAGGCAACCGGCCCCGATGGGATTCCGACTCGTGTCATCAAGGAACTCGCGAGGGAAGAATCAGTACCGCTAAGAATAATATTCCTGAGTAGTTTTTCGCGTGGGGAAGTGCCTCGAGACTGGAAACTAGCTAATGTCGTACCAATCTTCAAGAAGGGAGATAAGACCAATCCGGACAAATAGAGACCAGTGAGTCTCACGAGTATTCCGGGGATCATGGAGAGCATCCTGAGGGATCACATCTTAAAATTCCTCGAGGGGAACGTGCTCATATGGGACTCTCAGCACGGCATTAGGCGGTGATGAAATTGTCTTACCAACTTGCTTGAGTTTTATGATTAGGTGACGGAACAGAGAGACGAGGGAATGCCGTGGACGTAGTCTATTTAGATTTCGCTAAAGCTTTTGATACCGTTCCTCACAAGAGATTGCGGGTTAAATTGGAGGCGCATGGGATCCAGGGTAGGGCAAGTGACTGGATTATTCATTTAGGTTTTTCCGACGAATTTCGACAAAAGTCCACACAAATTCGTCAGCGTACGTTTCAATTTCAGCAGCGCTCCTCTCTCTTCCCGATTTTCCCATTCAATTTCGGCAGGTAACTTTCGATTTCGGCAGCGCAAGGGAATCTCTTGTTTTTGGTAATTCATTCAGTCATCTCGAACTGAGGCTCGTTTGTGGGGTCTAGCATTATCTAAGATGACAAACTGGAACTGAATATTCGAAATCGGCTGCTCTTTGCAGTGAGTCCTCCACGTAGGATGCGCTCATGTTTCGTTTCCATGCTTGGAATAATCTTATACAGCAAAGCAACAACAGGAACGCGTCACATCGTTGACGCTTCAGGAATTTTTTTTAGGAGCTCCTGAGATATGTACACACGATTTCACCACCAGATGACTTTCCTAACGTTAGCATGAAGTTTCTGCCGGCATATTCTCCTTTATTGAGCCCGACAGAACATGCCCACCCTGCATTTAAGGCAGCTGTCAAACGTGAGGTGTACCTTCCTGAGACACCGGTAGAACTTGGACGACGACCGGAACAAAACTTGCAGCAAAGTCGGACAGAGAAGCTACTCGAAATAGGAAAGGCATCAGTTGGGCAAATAACCCATTAGAAGTGCTTTGTGTGGTTTTGCCATGAACAAACATACTTGATCAGATGCCAAAAGAAGAGAACGTATCGATGGGTAGAATCAGTGTCAATGTCCATGTATTTTCCTTTGCATAAGAAAATGATTATTCGTTGAAAATATGTGTTTGTGCAATTTCCTTCCCTATTCCTCATAATCATATTAATTACCAAAAACAAGAGATTCCCTTGCGCTGCCGAAATTGAAACGGCGAATGCCGAATTTGAGTGGACTTTTGCCGAAATTCGTCGGGAAAACCTATAGTGACTGGTTGTCGGGATGGGACCAGCGAGTTAATGGAGAGGTGTCGACGGAAGTCAAGGTTGCAAGCGGTGTCCCTCAGGGTTTGGTCCTGGGACCGCTTCCTTTTCTGGTCTGCATGAACGATTTAGATGAAGGCCTGGCGAGTAAAATCAGTAATTTACAGATGACTCCAAAATAGGTTTATCCATCAGGGGAGAGGAGGACAGAGCAAGAGCCAAGCAGGATTTAAGGCTTTTGGACGAGTGGAGTAAGAAATGGCTCATGAGGTTTAATACAAGTGTAAGGTTCTTCACATGGGTTGAAACAACGATAGGTCTCTGAACGAGTTCGGCGTCGATAAGCTCGAAGAGGCTAACGGAGAGAGAGACTTAGGGTGGGTTCTTGTACTCCCTTTAAGCACTAAAAGACCTTTTAGGTCCATTGCCAGCATAGGACTAAAAGCCCGTTAGCGGCTAAAAGGGAGTACAAGAACCTACCGGCATACGTATGAGGTGTGAGCTACCGCGCCGCAGTGGTCTATGCGGCATATGCGGTGTGAGCTACCACACCAATTCATGGCACTGATATTGCCAGTATTGCAAACATCCCCTAGTATGAGGTATGAGCTATATGCGGTTCGGTGGCCTACCTGGCGCCGGTATGCCTAATCTGGCATAATCCTTGCTTGCAATTATGTCTCAAGCAGGTGTCCTTTCTTGCGGATTAGCCAGGGAGATTACCCTTGCGGATAATCCGAAGTCATAATGCTCTCCACTCATATAAACCCATCAAATTCTCGAGAACAGTTAGTTGCTCAGGATGCTTTTCTCGGAGTTTTATTCCGTTATCCGGAGCGAAGAGAGTGCTGCCGCATTTTTGAGGGAGCACGGACTTCTTGACGACGAAGCTACCCCACCCGCTTGCATTCGAGAAGGCTGTGGAGGAGAGACCAGGCTCTACACGCGAAAGAAGAGGAAGGCGGATGGCAGCGAGGCTTCCTACGTTTGCTTTCGGTGCGTGAAGAAGGGCTGCCAAAGAATGCAATCCGTACGGCGCAGCAATGATTTCTTCACCTACAGGGNAAGGGCATCGACCAGCTGGGGTACGCTCACGAAACCGTGAACCACTCGGAGAACTTCGTTGATCCAGAGAGCGGTGCGCACACCCAGCTGATCGAGTCTTTGTGGACTACTCTGAAGTTGAAGGTGCTCAAAGAAATGCGTGGCACGACCCAGGATATGAAGGAGCGGTACCTCATCGAGGTATGGTGGAGAGGATTGAATCCGGAGAAGACATTCGAGACCTTCTTGCGGGATATGGCGCTAACATTCAGAAATTGAACTTGACGATAAAAGAGAACGAAACAGCCCTTTTCAGGGCTATCACAAATATTGGGAAGAGCCTTTACGGTAGCTCACACCTCATACGCTGCAAAGATCACTGCTGCGCGGTAGCTCACACCTCATACTTATGCCAACCTACCCTTAGGGATTACTATACTGTGTCTAAAAAAAGAAAGTATGCCACTTTATTTTTGTTGTTGAAATATCTCCATCCGATATTAGGCAAGACTCATGCATTTTTTAACATGGCATTTCAGGTGAATAAGAAATATTCCTGCCAAGTTTAAAATAATTCTACCCAGTGCTTCAAATGCAATAACTTTTCAAAATTGAAGCATAAAAAATTAGCGAACGAACAATACACAAGTTAATTTTTGACTGGTGCATCACGTTGGCATGCTCCAAAATGACAGCCTTAGCAGCAAGCGGGCTCGGTAATGGAATTGGTTCAGATGAATCTCTTTTATCATGTGATATTACAATTCCTTTGAATCTTTATTATTATTATAGGCTGGCAGTTTATTTGCATAAAAAATACCTCCTACCGAGAACTTTACAAGTCTTATGCCTTTATGCACTCAACAAGTCAGACAGAAAGGAAAATTTCTGTCAAATTTATGCCAACCAACCTTAAAAATGATGAGGAACTCAAGTTCTCCTCGCACGCGCACGGTAGCTAAATGCAATAGGATTCTAGGCTTCATCCGACGTTCTATTACTAGCAAACTCGAGCGCTATTCTTCCGTTATATGCAGCGCTGGTAAGACCCCATTTAGAGCATTGCGTTCAGTTTTGGAGGCTTACAAATAAAGGCGAACTAACAGCGCTTAAGAGGGTCCAGAGGCGAGCTACGAGAATGATCAAGGAGGTTAGGGGCTTCCGTACGAGAGCGTTTAGATGCGTTAGGACTGTAGGGGAAAACAACGAAACTCGAACTATTTTTCCGTCCAATGATCAAATCCAGCATTTCTGTCAGCCCATAATGGCCAGCCCCCGGGGACGACCATTTGTTTCGGATTTGGCTTCGAAACACGAACGCAACGAAGTGGGACTTGACATTCTAATAGAATAAAATACAATGAGAAGGGAAAAAGCGAAAACAAAAACTAAAAGAGTAACCAGCAAATGTTCAATTAAAATACACAAAGGGAGGTGGGCTTGGTGGCTGGATCATCTGGATTATCAACATCAGAATCATAAATTTCTTCAGATATTTGTACGGTTCTGTTATTGATGCTGTTCCTTTTGCGACCCTACTCATTTTTCTTTCGTCAAGGTATGAATTTGCAACGTTAAACCGAACATGCGCTCAGGTCTATGTTTCACGATATAATTAATCCAAACTATTGGGATATTATCCAACCATTAACATATTCCTAAAGGAACTCATGCACTAAATTTTGCATGAACATGTAGTTCTATGGAACAATATTCCCGGAGATACCCTACAACCGAAACACTACTGTTTCATATCCAATATCTGAACGCGCTCAGATTTTGCATTCGTACTTCTTCTCACAATCGAAATATCATAGGAAATCAGAACCACGGCATCTTCGATGCAACAGGGAAACTACAGCAAGATAATTCAATCGCCTGAGGGGACATCGAACAAGCAGTCGATACTTTTAGCCTAAGCGTTCGAGTCAAATTGCACACTCCCGAAGCGTTCGAGTTTAGTTGTTTTCCCCTACTCACCTGAGAGGTTAGCAAGGGGGGACATTATCCAGGCATTTAAGATCATTAAGGGAATCGATAATGTACAGCATGGTAGGTTTATCCAGTTTGATGTTAATGGCAGAACGAGAGAGAACCAACTTAAGTTGCGTAAACCCCAGGTGAGGCAAAGGTTGCGACAGAACTCCTTTACTTGTAGGGTAGTGAACGCGTGGAATGCGTTAAGTGACGATGTAGTGGCTGCTCCTACCGTGACTAGCTTTAAGAAGAGGCTTAATGCCCTTCATGGACAAAACAATAAAGGGAGCATCGTAAGTTTAAGCGTTCAGGCAGTAGCTGTGCTACATAAAAAAAAAACTATATTCAAGAGTAAGCCTATCTTAAGAATATCTGAACGCTCGACCTCGACCCAGGTCGTCATGATGGACGGTTACGCTTTTTGACGGCCCTACCGAACCTTGAAGATATGTGATATTCCTTTCATAATGCAAAAAATCCCAGCATCTACTGTATATGATTGAACCTTCTTTGAGCCAATACTTAGGGTAGCACATTTAAATTACTTTCTAGGCCTTAGGAGGGAACAATGACACCAGTATGCCGTTAGAAAGTACAAACACTGAAACTTATACAGTATTTCGAACATAATTTGCATAAAAGATGCCAATTAGCATCCAATATGGCTGCTGTAGTCAGGAGATTGACCCTATTTTCAAACGTTTCCCAGAAAACGTGCCATTCAACTGGAACGACATTTTCTGACAGTATTCTACGTACGTAGGAGCAGTGCTTGATCGAATCCAAATTTTGCCACTTGTCATAGAAAAAAATTTTGATCATATTTTCGAATTTCGAGAATTTTCCATGTCTATTAACATATTCATATAAATATACCTTCTGATAATCGAATTACAAAACGCCACGATCATTCACTAGATATACTTATAAATGACCTTTGCTGAAAAAATCAGCAAAATACTCCAAGAATTCACCGAGTTATCATGTTTGAAACATTGCCGGACAAGCAAAAAACAAAAACGAGAAAAAGCGGGCTAAACATTACATTGGGTCATTCCACTCCAATTCGACCAGAGCGCGAGCTCCACCATCTCCGATTTGGACGAAAATCGGCATACACGAAGAGCAATGGATTTAAAGAAAGCAATTTTCGGCAATTTTTTATCTCTTGCACCGATCTCCAGATATATGTATTTGAATTATACCTATTTTTAGCTCCTGGCGCTCATACGAATTGGAATTGTGAAACTGTTTCTGCAAACTGTTTAAGATACAAGCTTAATTCTGGTGGCATTTAAATTGCGAAATCGCCGTCTTTTATTAGATTCTAGACACTATTCTCCAAACCTTAAACAAGAAGTTCCACTTGACCAAACAGTTTGATCAAGTTCAGTGGCCAAGAACTACGCTTGCCACTTCGGGAATTCGCGTTTCCCATACATCATCAAAAGTGCTGGTATTACAAATTTGGATTTTTGGAGGTGTTAGTACAGATGGAGGTCGCTGAAAACGGTAAAGCAAATAAACCGGGCCATAACCATGGCTCAAAATCGCTGCCAGGGAGTGTGAGAAAGACAGTTATGAGCCTAATTATGACAATTGGGCACATTTTGACCAATTTGAGCAACTTTTTTCAGTGGATTCTAATTTTAAATGAGTCAAGGAGGACTATAGGCTGTTTTTTTTTGGTTTTTACTCGAAAAATCCGAAATGTTATGGTATAGAGCAACCTTAAAACAGCTAAAAGCATTTAAGGTTAACAGATGAGAATTAGAACTCACTGTGGCTTCAAGGATCTGGAATCACTCTGTTTAGGAGATGATAGCACATCATCTAGTTCTCTCTCCTTTCTCACAGGAGGTGTGAGTGATCCTCTGGAGGGAGACTCAAAGGATGCACAGGCCTCAACTTTCAGAGGTTCCTGATCCCGATCCTGTACAGATTGGAAAGGACATCAGATTATCATTTCTATCCTTATTTGCTGAAAGCTAACCTAAAGATGTAACATATGAAAATCAAATGAAAATGTAACATCAGAAAGCAATGAACCAGTAAGACCAAATAAATGTGGTACTCATACTACATACAATATGCACAATGTACACAAAACACTGGCTACATTAGTTTAAGGACTAAAAAAAAATATTTCAGGACTTTCAAACTTCAGAGAACCATAAAATTAGCTAAATTCCTGATGGCTGCTGCCATACAAGAGTATGCATCAACTTTTTGCTGGGTAAAAGGTAAATCATAAATTGTGTGACTGAAAATACAGGTATTCAACATACAAGGGGTGATAAAAAATTTCAAGGACTGAATTTTTTATGATGCTGTGGTGACTCTTTCTGACTACTGATGGTTATTTTCTTCAAACTAGTCCTCTTTGGCATCTTCACAATTTTCTGGTGTTTCATCAGCTGCTAGAAACATTGCTGACACTTATCTCATATGAATGACATCTCCTTTCAAACATCATTTCATTGGCTTGTAATATCAGGATCCTTCAAAACTATCATCTTGATGCTACTTGTGGGGGAAAAACTGGAGGAAAAACTTGTCATGACATTTTAGAGATTGTTGTGCGCTGACATACCTGCCTTGGAGTTTCAATCATTCTTATTTTGTTCTTTTCATCTTGGACAGATGTGGGTGTGGATGATACTGGCAATTCCTCATCATGGTTGGCACTCAGCTGATGAGATGTAAGAGGTGCAAGATTGCCATAAACAGCCAGAGTAACTGTTGTGTAACTCCCACGCAATACAAGGCCATCCGTTGGAATCTGCAAAATGCATGTGAAGAATTTAAAATACTTGGATCAGAATGCCCTTTCAATAATTTTCTCTACATGAGAATATACAAGGTGTTAAGAAAGTTGTGTCCCATCGCAATGTGCTGATTACCTCAGCAAAAAAAAAAAAACAAAATCAGGAGAAATTTTTATGTACAATAACAAAGACACTCAACTGATTTAGAATCACTTAGTAGTTTTCAATATAGCCACCCTTGGCACAGATGACAAGGTTCAGATGACCCATGAAAGCATTGACTGATTTTTGCACGTTTTCCTGTGGAATTTTCGCTCCCATTCTCAGTTCAGGGATAGCTTGAGAGAATCCAAAGAACAGTGTTTTGTAGCACACACTTTGCTCTCTAAGATGGACCAAACTGAAAAATCGAAATCTGAAAATTTTCAAGCCACTCAGCGTCAAGGGGTGGCTTCTGTAATGGTCTGGGTCGGGATTACTGCTTCTGGACACACTCCGCTTGTTTTCGTGCTGAATGTCAACTCTGAAATATACCGTAAAGCATCCTGGAAGACTATCTGGTTCTGTGGGCCACAAATCATTTCAATGGTGGCAACTGGGTCTTCCAGCAGGACTCAGCACCAGCTCACAAGGCGTAGAGGACCCAGGAGTGGCTGTGGAAAAATATCCCCAACTTCATTCCGACTTCACAATGGCCCCCTTACTCCCCTGATTTCAACCCCTTACATTTTTCAATTTGGTCCATCTTGGAGAGTTAAGTGTGTGCTACAAAACACCGTTCTTTGGATTCTCTCAAGCTATCCCTGAACTGAGAATGGGAGCAAATTCCACAGGAAGACTTGCGAAAATCAGTCGATGCTTCCATGGGTCATCTGAACCTTGCCATCTGTGCCAAGGGTGGTTATATTTAAAATTATTAAGTGATTCTAAATCAGTTAAGTGTCCTTGTAATTGTACATAAAATGTTTTTCTGATATTAGGTTTTTTGCTGAGATTATAGGTATATTGCAATGGGACACAACTTTCTTAACACCCTGAACAGGACCTGGCATGAATGTTGCTACAGTACAGCACTAGGGATAGCCCATATACTCAGCTCCATTCTTCAGGTCACCAGTGTGAATCTGGCATCATATCTCACTTGTCCAAAATGACCCACCCTCCTAAATTAATCTCCAGTCATACATTCAAATCCTTCAGGATGGAAGGAAGTAATTATATACACTCTTGCTTCGCAAGTAGGGATCCAAACCCTGGGAGATATATTCAATTGCACACAGAGGCTGCAAATGATGGACAAGATGTAAGTTTTCAACACCATTGCCAATTCAAGTCACTGGCAATTCATGAGTGATGTACTTTCCTCTGCCACAAATCATCCTTGACAGTGAATGTATGAAATGCAGTACCTTCCCAAAGATGCACCTCAAAAAGGACTTTGATGATCAGAGCAAAATTCAAGCAGCTGTAGCTGTAGCAATTTCATGTTCTAGACCAGTGGTTCCCAATCTTTTTTTATATGCGGCACACATAAGGACACTTGAACTTTCCACAGCACACCCAGCCATTTACTTACTTGCAATGGGAAACTTGTGCTTGCTTCGCTGAACACAGCAGTTTGATATGAGGCGTGATAGTATGACTCTCAGCTCATTTTCCACTGAGAGATGGCATTCCCTCTTGTTTTTAAGTTTTTTTAGTTGTATTTTTTTGTTGTCAAATCTCAAATCTCACGGCACACCTAAGCCTTACTGGCAGCACACCAGTGTGCCACGGCACACCGTTTGGAAAACACTGTTCTAGTCTGTTATGGTGAAAGCAAAAGCTCTTTGACTAAAGAAAACTGCAGAAATTTGTATACTTGCATGGTTGATTTTTCCCATTTTTCTTGCTTGAGTCTAATAATATGAGCAGGGTCATAACAATATATGAGGGTGTTTCAAAAAGTAATGGCAATTTCTGTCTAAGCTGTCCATGAGAGCCCATACCTAGGAAACTGCTCAATGCAAGCAAAGACAGATCAATTTCATTCAGAATTCACACTTCAGTTGGCATCCAAGCTCAGCAGCACTCATCTGTTCATTTCATAACCTTTCTATCCACTCATGCCACAAAAGAGAAGCTGTCTGTTAGTAACAGACAGCTTCTCTTCCGTGGTGCACACAGAGCTTCTTCTTCTTCTACCAGCTGTTCCCACTTTCATGTGGGGTCGCTGCAGCAGACACCAATCTCCTCCATCTGTCTCTGTCCTGGACATCCTCCTCCTCCACACCAATCCCTCTCATGTCCTTCCTAACACAATCCATCCATCTCCATTTAGGCCTTCCTCTTCCTCTCTTTCCGGGCAAACCCAGCTCCATTGTTCTTCTTCCAACATAGGTTTCTTCCCTTCTTTTCACATGTCCATACCATCTCAACCGTGCTCTCCTGCATCTTGAAAGATTATGCGCAAACTACAACCAGACTTCAGGTGTCAGGTAACTTCAGCTGTCAAGTAAATTTGCAAATCCAGTGTTGATGCATCTACCACCAGATTTTAACTAAGGCAATTAGCTTACATGTCCATACCATCTCAACCGTGCTCTCCTGCATCTTGATGTAACACTCTCCACCTCCAGTCTCCCCCTCACCTCCTCATTCCGTTTCTGGTCCCTCCTCGTCAAGGCCGGTCCCAAGCCCGGGTAAATGGGGAGGGTTGCGGCAGGAAGGGCATCCGGCGTAAAACATTGCTCCAATCAACTATTAGTTGTACTGTGGATGATACAATGTTTTCCTGAAACTAGCACCTAATGCACTCTCGATGCTAAGGGCCGATTGCATGAACGATGTTTCGGCTGAACGAATCGAACGCCCAGACAACTTTAATCAATCGCAAATGCTTCCATTTCATCGATGCCCAAGCAGTGCGCGATGCGGAAGGGATTATTACTGAATTTGTCATCACGTGATCAGGATCCACACGCAATTCTCGAATACCCTCATTTTGCAATCGTACACAAATGATACTATTTTTCACATTTCCTACTTTTCCGTGTGTCCAAAACGAGTCCTTGGCTTTACCTCTGACATATCGAAATACAGAGTAAGGTCAGAGGAGAACTCACCAGTTTCCAGGCATGATTACTTGTGGAAGGAAAGTGCATTCTCTCTCCCTCGCTAGATTCTCCTTTACAAGCTCAGCGAGATGTACTTAATAGTCTGAGGAAAGGTTCTCCTTTTTAATTGATTCGCTCGTTTTTTGTGGAGTCTGTAGTGTATTACGCGACAACCGAGGAGTCAGAACGTGCTATATGTACCATGAGAGGTGTTTAGCCATCGTCTAACCATCGGCTATGAAAACATGGCTTAGGGATCGTTCACGCAATGGAAAGTAGACATCGGTTAACCGATGTTTCGTAGACAATGTTTAAACAATGACTATCGATAATCAATGTCTAAAATAAACATCGTTCATGCAATCGGCCCTAAGACTTCACCTTCATTAGTTTCATCTTCCTCTCTTTTTCCAGAAACCCTCGAAGAATTCCTCGGAGTCCCCCCTATGTCCATTGCCACCCGACACTTCCCTCTAGTTCAACAGGAATGAATGAAGTTAAAAACTTGTATGTTCTTCCAACGAGACAAAATGTGTTCGCGAGTGAATTCACCAGTGGCAATCAATAGATTACGCACAGAATTTCATAAATCCACGAAGTAACGTGGTGCCCTATGTATTCTTGATAGCGCATTGTATCAAGCGGATTGCATCAAGAACGGTACCACGTTAAAGTGAAAAATGTAATAGTCAGATCAGAGATAAGACATCCAACCTGACAAATAGAGTATATTTTCAAAGATAGCATTCAAGGCATTCCCTCACACAAGAATAAAAATTTCCCAGTTTCTGAACCACAGATTTGAGCCCCTTTTCGCAGAGCTTCAGTCTTCTTTTATTATCGAACCCAGGTCAGACTGATGGAGACGCCAAGCAATTGAGATGCGTAATGGCGGTGAATTGCCGATAACTTTCTCCCACGATATCAGGGGACGATCAATGAGGAGACGACCTCTCACTCGATTTCTTCCCATGCGTATGGAGTAATACCAGGCAAGAGGCATGACTTCTGCAGTAGTATAAGGAAGAAGAGCTTCGAGGGCCTCACCGACACCTTCATCGACGGCATGTAAGAATTGTTCACATATACTTTCGATGACTTCGTGTATGAGAGAGGAAGTGTCTTTGAAAGAAATTCGTGATTCTTGTGGTGAATTGTGCAAAACTGCTCGAGACGTTCATGAACCAAGTTGAGGGCAGGTAGTCCCAAGACGAAACAGCAGCAGCATTGAAAGTGCGCGAAGTCGTTCTCGTTGCGAATGGCGGAAATACCATCACCACCCCTCTTCACCTCGCTGCAATCGCTGACCCCATCTGTCCCACGGTCGTCTCCGTCCATCCGCCACGCGAGCAGGCGATGCTGGTGGAGGTGCTCCGTCAAAAAGGCGTCTGACGCTTTGACATTCGCAACCTGCGAATATCAATGAACGTTCATCAGTCTGAGGGGTATCCCATGACAACATGTCAACACCAGCGTACATGACTTCCAAGCCACTTTGCCCTTACGATTTACTTCTCGACGGTGGCAAACTACACGGTGTTTCAGCAAAAAAAATTGGGCCAAATCATTTTCGCTAATAATTCGCGATTAATTTCTTAATAATTAATTTCTCGAAGGGTCGAGTCTTAACTGGGCCGACTTTTTCGGACCCTGGCACAGCCGGTCCGATTCGATTTTTAGTCGGCACCCAATCCAAATCCCGAAAGGCAACAAAATTTCCCGATCAAACTCGAGAAAAATTATTCTTCACCCAATGTTTTCACTTCCCTTTCTGTATAGCATTAAAATTATGGAGCGGGGCTGGCTCGGACCGTGTGTGCACCCTAGGCACGTTGCTGACGAGGCCTCCCGTCGCCTCCTTCTCCCCCCCTCCAACTCTTGGTTGGCAGGTGGTGTTCATAAGCGGAAAAACCGGGAGGGAATGCTTGGCGACAAGGCAAAACAGCAAAACTTTTCACAATCTCCCATTCCCGACCAGAAAGTGTATCTCAAGAATATCTACCCGAAACGGCCTGTGGGATGGGTCGAGCCAATCTTACCGGCCCGCAGTTCCTATTTGAAGGGTAGTGAACGTGGTGAAACAGGATCGATTTCTGACTACAGCCATTGTTTTTATGAGGGAGTGGCTACAAAGGGCAGGACACTCAGCACAGGATCGTCCAGCATTTTCTAGAAGGGAAATAATAATAAAGCCCATCTCCCATCCTCTCTCCTACGTCATCGACCGGGAGAAAATAAAAGGAAAATACTATCTGTCTCGAGAGAGGTCCGACCGACCTACTTCCACCACGAGCGGCTTCGTCCGTGGCAATGGACACACGATGGCGCCAGTAATGAAGAAGAAAAAATGGCTAGAGCGGAGGAACTGTTTAAAGCAGGTTCTTCGTGCGGACTCACGGGTCTCATCTCTTTACGATAACATCTTTTCGCCATATTCTCATCGACACCTCTTCGCGCAGCGGTTCAATCAGAAATTACCTGAGAATCACTCATTTTTATCGATCCGTTTTGCGACCGGTCGAGAGAAACCGTATAAGGGGTCCACGTGGCTAGGAACTTCGGCGCCTGAGAATAAGTAAGCCTACGACAGAGGAGGCAGAACCTCTGCATAGTCCTAAACGCGATACGGCTCGTCTTTCTCCCTATTTAGTTCTAGGCACCTAATTCTCATCACAGATCGTTAAAGATACGAGAGAGAGAGAAAGGGGACGGACCTGAGAATTCCGAGAAGCCGCAGTACTTGTAGATGCATCGCTCGCTTCAAGCTCCGCTCCTTTTCACATTCGAGGCGACAGGGGCACACGGCAACTGAGCACACGCGGCGACGGTTTCTTTCGCGTCTCACTCTCTATCGTTCGAGTCCGGGCAAGAGAGGAAATACGTAGTACCTCACGGTAACCTATTTGATTGAACACACCCCTGTTTAAATAAAAAAAATCACGGAGTGGTGGCCTTCGGAGATCCAGACTACTTGAAACTCCATGACAGTCGCTCTATCGTGCACGCGATATCGTGAACACGGAACGTGGAAGTCTGCAAGTGTTAATTTCTTTGGAGCGAAAGGGAGAAACGGCGGAAGTGCTTCCGAAGTACCCTTTTCAGTCAGTCAGACGAGAACTATTTCCAGCCAGAAAAAAGACACGAAACCGAAAGTGTCCTTAAGCTGCGCGTATTGCGGGTAGGATTCGTCTCCACCTTCAAGCGTGTTTCATCTTATTAGTTCCCCGTCTGGTTCGTGAGCCGAACCGACTTCGACAGGAATGCATCGTCTCGCCGATCACTCCCGGTGCCTCACCTTTTAATGCGTCGAAACGATCCTCGATCCAAGAGCTGGGCGTGGACGAGAAAGACGGGAACCGACGGAGCTCGAAGCGACGAACGGCGATTCCGTGCGGACTCGTTCTCGTCTCCTCCGCGAGGAGCCCCACGTCTCCGAGACGCGAACCTCAGCCGTGCAAAATCCACCCTTTGGTCCTGCGAGAACACCAACAGGAGAAAAAACCTGAGAAGCCGAACGCAAGGAATCGGAACCGGAGGAAGAACGACACGAGAGACTCGAAAGGGAAGCGAGAGGGAGGGAGACGGAGGCGATATCCTGCCCCACTTAAGGACACAGACTGCCGTTTCACACTGCCAAGCCGAAAGAGACCAACTTAAGGAAAGGAATGCGTACGCCTCTTCTCATTCCACGGGGGACGAATATGATGTCATGGAACCGAGGCTTCTCGGCGATGAATGCGTTTCCTAACAGACTGAAACGGGCAACGACACCGCTCCGTGAAACTGTTTTGCATAATGCTTCAGCGATTCCACGCCCCAACCCGGGATTAAGAAAACAAAGAATCTACTCCTTCCCTTTGGGTTCAACGTATGGCGTCGACCATCTGCGAAGTTCCAAATCTGGAAACTTCAACACTTCACAACAGGCAACAAGAATGCACAATTTAGATTTCCATGAAGTTCGTCCCAGCTGGGTGGGGACGAACTGGGACGAACTTCATGGAAATCTAAATTAAACACGATTCATCTCGGGTGATGCGACATACAGGGTGACACAAAAGTTCTGTACACTTTAAAAAACTGTTCTCGATTCTAAGCTACCACGTTCATATATGCTTGGCTTGGTTTCTACACGTAGCTTAAGGTACGCGCGACTTAGGGGATTCTCAAAGTGCTGATGATCAGTTTCGTCATGCCATTGTCCAATGAAGATCGTCGGTCGGCTGTGATCAGTTTGCACGAAGCTTGGAAGTCTCCCACCGAGATTTTCCGACTGCTCCAGAACAATGGCTACAACCGGAACTTCATCAAACGTACGATTCAGCGGTTCCTTGAGACAAACTCTACAGAAGATCGTCATCGATCAGGTCGACCGAAGTCTGTGTCAACCACTGCCAACATCAAAAGGGTTAGATCTCGGCTTCGTCGAAATCCCAAGCAATCGCTGAGAAAAATGGCTCAAACGACTAAGATAAATCGCGAATCGCTCCGGCGAATTGTCAAGAGCAAGCTGAATCTTCGGCCTTTCAAACTCCAAAACGCTCAACATCTCACGGAGCAAGCGAAGAAAACTAGGCTGCAACGATCGCAGGCCCTTCTCCGTCGGTTCGCAGATGGCTGCCATCGCAATATCCTCTTTTCTGACGAGAAGCTCTTCACGATCGAGCAATCATTTAACTCTCAAAATGATCGAGTATGGGCAGCAGAGTCGTCAGGTATCTCTCAAGACCTCCGACGTGTCTCTCGAACACAGATGCCAGCTTCTGTGATGGTGTGGGCGGGTATCACTGCAGAGGGGCGCACGCCCCTGGTTTTTGTGCCGTCTGGCATGAAGATCGACGCGATTGCCTATCGTGACCTTATCCTGGAGGATACTGTAATGCCCTGGGCCAAAAAGCACTTCGGAAACCGCAAATGGACTTTCCAACAGGACTCTGCGCCAGCCCACAAGGCAAAAATCACTCAGGCCTTCTGCAGAAAAGAATTCCCTGACTTCATCACCTCGGCAGAATGGCCTCCTTATAGTCCAGACCTGAACCCATTGGACTTTTGCGTGTGGAGCATCTTGGAGAGCAAAGCCTGTGCTACTCCCCATGCATCTCTCGAATCCCTGAAGCGTGCCCTTCAAACGGAATGGATCAAAATCCCCCAGGAAACCCTGGGTGCCGCAGTCGATGCATTCCGAAAGAGACTTCGCGAGTGTGTTACAGCAAAAGGTGGTCATTTTGAATGAATTTGCGGGCATTATCTGTTGAAATGGTTGTAGATTCTAATAGCGTTGTCCCCATTTGTGAGTTCCTTAAAAATGGTTATAAAAAGTTGAGATAACCGAGTGTACAGAACTTTTGTGTCACCCTGTAGGAACGGAAGGCATGGCACACTCCCCTTCTCGCCCTTTCAATCGATTCAAAGCCCCAGACCTGTATGCTCGGAACGAGCGAATGCGGACACGAATCGCAAAATGGGAACAGAAGCAAGCTTTCGGATGCCTGGCCACGAATCTCATCCGGATCGATAAATTGGGCCCGATCGAACTTCCTTTTCACCATCTACCATCGGGCGGGCGAAGGGAATTCTCATCATCCTCGTAGATCCCATTGTTCGGCTCACCCACGACAAAAAAAAAATAATAATAAGAGGTGGACGGGGACGAGAATCGACGCGGAATTCTTTTCATGAACGATCCATGGATTCCAGGAGGCGTCCATGATTTCCAGCGCAGTCGGAATGATGGCCTGGCATTCGTGAGGTGGAAACTTCATTTGACGTTTATCACGCTTATCGAACTTCCGAAGACTGATAATTAACTTCATGGCAACTTCATTGCAATTAGTAATTATAGCAGAGGCACTATACAAAATTAAGAATAGGACAGGGATTGCCATTTCATGGCATCTCTAAAAACAGTTTCCTAGGATTTTATACACTCGACCTCGCGAATGCAGTAAAGCAGTTCGAAAAAAAATTTCAAATTCGAAAATTCTCCAAGGGAGAATTTTCGTTGACAACGCAGGCAGACGCAAGTGCACGAACGGTCTCAAGTCAAAATTCATGGTGGCGCGAATATATTTTCATTTTTAGTCATAATGAACCCTGAGAATGTATCTTGAAAACGAGGATTTAGGATTTTCTACGTAGATCCTTCGAGACGGCTGTGTAAAAGGGCTCTGACGAATCACGCGCGAATGTCTTGACTGAGTCCATGTGGAAGAATCACGCAGCAACCGGACGCATTTCTCCTGCATGCCTCCTTCCGCGCCCAACGACCGCGAGCTGCTTTCCTCTGAGATTGTGTTGTGGTGGAATGACCCACGATTCAGATTACACCTATTAATGAATCGCCTTCGGTTACAGAGTAGAGCGAATTAATCCTGATTTTGTGCCTAAAATGGCCAGCTGACAAAGTCAACGAAACTCTTGTGCGTTTTCACCTACGTCTACCTCTCCTTTTCCCTTCTCTCCTCTCACATGCCAAGATGTGCGTGGTACTAGCATTCACGTTCCCCCTCTTTCGGTCTGAACGTGCGTCTGAGAAATGGATTTACTCTAAGACCGGGCCGATGGCAGATTAACATCTCATAACCATCGGCCAGTGACGGTGCCGATTGTTGTCTGAAAATTGAGAAGTAACATGAAAATGCAAACTAATTCATATAGCCCTATTTAGAAACCATGTGACACTTTTACGGGGACCCCCTACAAACGATAAAGGCCGTATTTATCACCGTCTGTCTGCTTCCATAAGTGGTTAGGTTGTTACCTATTGCTGCTGTTAGAGTGTTTAACGATACTCCCCCTAGCGAATGCATAAAATAAAAGGAGGGACTATGATATCTCGTTCTTTACAACTATTTTCCTCCGCCAGTTCCTAGAGTAGGGCTGAAAAATAATCCGATCGATGTTTTTCGGGCTCACACGTTCACTTTTTTCTCCGTAGGTTTTACCAGTAAGTTTAACCTCTCCTTTAGACATCGGCATCGGCAGCTTGCAAATCGGTCGATGGTGCAACACCGGCGGCCGATACCTGTGGTAACCGTGACCTTGACTTTCTACCTTGACCTTCTCATATCTCGTATCCTCCCCCTCTCTCCTTGCTCCCCAGCCCCGTTCCCAGGGGAAACTTACTAAACACACTCTTTGAGTCTGGTCCCCTTTTCATCTGCATCTTCAAGTTTCGTATATGGGAAATCAAGGTTTTAATTTCAAAGTAAACGTTCAATGAAGTTTTCTTAGCTTCTCCATACTTCATTGGAATCGTTAGAGATTTCAAAGGTTGAACTATTTGCGGAGATTGCTTGCAGAACTTTAGCAACATGGACTTAACTCCCTCTGTATCCAGAGGGACATGGGACAGGTAATTCTTCCCCATGTCACTTTTACTATTCTGGTTTGCAGATGGGAACGAAAACTCACCATGAAAGTGCGTAATTTATAGAGCTTTCTCCACATACTTATTGAAAGTTGGAGTCATCCAAAGTCGCACATTCCTCATGGTTGAAACTCCGGAATTGGCCTTTATTCGCGTTTACCCAAATAAATTTGTTACGTAATACAATGGTTCCTACCCCAGGATAAACTGTATTACATCAGGATCTTTGTATCTCATGGGACTGCGCCAAGCAACTACACCAAATTGGAAAATGCTCAAACAACATAGCAGTTGTAGTCGTGGGACACCTTTCTTTCCCCGATGGGGTTTCACCTAAATGTATCCACTCCTCCTTCCCGTGACCGGCGCCTTCCGTCGCGGATTAAACGTCGCATGCACTCTTGGCGTCGCAAGCAAAGATGGTTACACTCTACTTGTCACGTGGGCATTACAAGGGTTGGGAACAGATGCAGCTTGCACGAGCCCACGCGTAGGTTCTTGAGAATTTTCAGCGGCGGCTTTCAGCTCCCCAACTGTTTTAGCCGCTCGGACACGATCAGAACTGGATGCATGTTAGTGGTCAGTGGGTGACTCCGTCGTTCCGTAATTTCTCATGTGCATCCTACCCTTACAGCTTCGCAGCTCACATCGAGATTTTGCAATCTTATTGAAACTTCGCCTTACTACAGTATGAAGATGCCACATCATAGTGAAGCTTTTCTTTAAGATGTCTTGAGGTATTTCAGTGCCATTAACACGACTCTAGATGCATGCATATGGACACGAAACGGCTCACATAACGTCAAGAATGACTTCGACCCTTTGCCTCCCCTTTCCTTCCCCAGCTGATATCCACGAGGAACACAAGCCCTATTCCTTTCTACCATATTTGTTCATTTTGCTTTCACTCCTTTCACCCGTGCGACAATCTCTGCTTGCGACGAAAACGCCGGTATCCCCTCCTTCCATATTCAGTACGCGAGGTACTCCAAGTTCAATCCATTTCTTCGCCGAGCTCTAAAAAGTATTCACGAGAGGAATGGACTGCGCTGTGGGCTGATCGTTTTCGTCGGCAAAAAAAGAGGAGAGAAATATTTACATGAAAATGGAAAATAAAGGAGAAAGACAGCATGTAACGGAAGCAAAATATAAATAAAATTACCTGAAAAACAAAGGTTTAAAAAAGTCAGACCTGAAAACTCTTTTACTTGTCAAAGGTCAGCTGACGAAGGACTGAGGGCAGGGAGTGTTACAAATACAGGTAGGTTTCCAAGGGGGAAGGGATGAAACCCGGAGAGTTACCATCCCTACTCATAAGAGTTGTGTGATGCTCGTGTGCGGAAATTATGAAGTGTAATCTGTAAATGCTGAATTATTTCAAGTGGAGGGCGGGTTGGAAAGAGACGGGAATCGGGAAGGCGGCGGCGAACAGGGAAATTTTTTTGCAATAGGAAATAGTGCGACAGTTGTGTGCTGGCGCCTCGCATCTCCCATGCACGGGAAGAGATGTCTAGACAGGAAAGAAAATAGGGGTGAGAGAGGGAAAGAATCATCACGCATTGTACAGTACGTTCGCCATTTCAGGCACAATCGGGGAAAACCCCACCACTCGGCAACCGATTCCCCCAGAAAGGCAATCTGGGAGTAATCTGAATCATGGATCATTCCACCACAACACAGCCTCAGAGGAAAGCAGCTCGCGGTCGCTGGGCGCGGAAGGAGGCATGCAGGCGAAACGCGTCCGGTTGCTGCGTGATTCTTCGTTATGGATTCAACCGAATCGTTCTTGGTCAGAGGAAAATCAACACGTTCACGCATGATTAGCAGAGCCATTTTTAATAGTCGTCTCGAAGGATCTGTGTAGAAAACTCGAAATTTATTATCCTAGTTCTGAAGATTCTCGGTCAAAGGGGTAGGAACTATTTCCGCATCCCGATTAGATCCTTTTTTTCATACCTCGGTGATGTAAAAGATCAGAAAATGAGCCTCCTTTCCTTGGGAGATACCGAGGGTAAGAAATTTTGAAAGCCCTTCTGTCTATGAATTCGTACGTAATTTGATCATTTGAGCTGTCTGCACGTTGCTTTGGATAACTTGTATTCCTCATGAAGTGTTATGACCCCGTTTCATTAATGTCACGCGTGCAACTTTTTTTGCTTCCTGTCTCCATTTTAATGCCCCCCAAAATTAACAACGGTGGCGGGATACATTTGTCCGCACTCAAAAGTTTTCCTTATAATTGCCTTCAGGAGAGAAGACAGGACGGGGGAAGGGGAGAGCGGCAACGCGCCAAGAGGAATCTCAGGAGGAAGGGGATCGAAAGCGGAGATTTTGATTTGTATATTAAAAAAAAAGCCTTCCTAGAGACGAGAAAAAAATCAATTGCAACAGGCGCCAGTTGAAGTGGCGTCAGTCTCCTGCTCCTGCCACTCGTTCACAAGCAGACAATTCGAAAATGGCAGTCGAAAACGACCTTCAAACTGCCACCAGGAAAAAAAACTTAAATGAAAAAAAAAACATGAAAGGTAGTCGGGATTCAGGATAGTGCCGATATGCTAAAATTTGAAATGTTCAAATTACATAAGGTATTGCGAGACCTTCCTCTCAATCAGGCCGTTTAAAAACCAATTCGGGAATTTCTATGGCCGTCAGGGAGAGATGGGGACCAAAGGTCAGTTGGGGTCGGATTCGACTGGGACGTCCCCGTCATGTGAGGGGCTTCATGCGGCGAAATGCACGGGAGAGTATTATGCCGGTCTACGAGGCGGAGTTTGCGCTGATGCATCTCGAGTCATCTTCGTTCGGGACGAGAGAGGCTTCCTAACAGTTTTCTGTGCGGGTGGTGAAATTCGCGGCGAGGCACTCAAACGCAGGCATAAATAAGGCATTGCGATATGCATGTATTCTTGGAACAGGATCGGGCGGTAGGTGATGCGAAGGCTGCACTAAAAATTATGCGGATTGTGCAGTAAGTAGTAGAAGTAGTAGGGCAGTTACAGCGCATTGGTGCTGACAGTGAATAAATATCGGGATACTTCTGAGGCGACACGCATGAAATCCATCACATTTTTTCGTCACTTTCTTCGGAAACAGGATAAATTCGACGCACTTGCAGATTCAAGTTGCACTAAAAGCGTTGTATTTACTGGAAGTGACGGAACAACGTCCCCTGGCCCGTTCCGTGAGCCGACTTTGGCCGTAACGCCTCGTCTGGGCGATCCCCCACCTTCCAACCCCCCCCCCCCCTCTCATCGCCTCTTACCTCGATGCGACGGACGGTGATTCCGTGCATTTGCTGTCGTGTGGATGTCTCCTCTGCGATGAACTCGACATCCCCGCCACGTGGACCTCGGACGTGAAAAATCCACCTCGTGGTCCTGCAAAAACACCAACAAAAGATTTACGAGAAACCAGATGCAACGAATCAAAAGCATGAGATCGATGAGAGGGGCGAGGGAAGAAAGAAAGATCGACCTAACAGAGAAAAAATGAACGACCCCGATTGAGGACATCAACTATCGTCACGCCCGAAAGAACTGGAAGCCTCCTCATTTCGCGAGACGAAGACGTGATGGAATGGACGGAAGGCTTTTTCCGCCACGAACGTCTTTCCTTGGCAACTCACCTCAGAAAAGACTGAACTCAATGATCCCGACTTATCGTGGACCCTTCGCGATTCCACGGCCCACCCCTGGACACGACCGTTCTGTACATGCCAGCTCCAACAGGGTGCGACTTGGGGGCCTAGGCCCATTCATAGGCCTTTCATGTCTTCATTTTGAATTTGCTCTATCTCTGACTCATATTAGTGTATATCCTAAGAATGAGGGCAGCATAAAAAAACCCTGTTTCCTGGTAGTTCTGTGAAAGCCTAACTGACAGAAATTCTTTCATTAGTTTGTGGCCTGTATTGTAATGGCAAGCAATCATTATTTATCCAAATCTTTATGCAAGGCAATCCCTACACTGCTTGCAAATCAAGAAAAATAATTCTGGATTCTGCTTCAAGGAACACCCTTTTCTTTTACGGCATTGCATTCAGTATATGAATTCAGCACAAATACAATAGGGGATCCTCGGCCATTCCTTTTGTCGTGGCAATGCCTTCAAGAAGTTCTCCAGCAAACAGCCATATTGCTGAAAGTGACCAGAACTCAGATGAGACCAGGGTATCAAGTGACCCAAAATACGGCTACTTTCCTACTGGTCTTTAGAAACACACAAGTTTCAAGGAAGATTCAGCTCCAGTGAGCATGGCCCTATTCATAATGCCTCCAGGCCTCATTACACCATTTAGCATCATGTCACCACTGATGGGCAGCAGGAGACACCCTGCAGGCACACACGACAGCAGCAATATCATCACGCTTGCATTCGTGTTTGGGCTGCCAGTGCGTCGTGGGGATACGGGAGTGCCACTCCAGATGGTCCAAGGACTCATACAAAAAGATGACCTAACAGAAAAAATGACAGGCTCACAGAGAAGAAAGCAACACAGGAATCTGGCTTATAGCATTTTGCACTAATGCCCAAATGCTTACTCACATGACACTGGTCATTAACCTATAGGTCAACTTCCAGTGAAATGAAAATTCTGCTTTTTACAAATTGCACTTGGGTCACTAAAAACTTCTGAAGCCCTTCTTCCCTATTAAGTCTGTTCTACTGATGAAACATGCATGAAATTTTCAGTATTTTGTTACCCTTCTGTTCCTTTGGGATGTGAAAATATGTAGTTGACATGGGAGAAAAGTTTTATTATTTTCAAAAGGACATTTTGGTGCATGTGGGAGGTGTAAAATCCAAGTGAGATAATTCAGGAATACAATCAGGCTCTTCCTAGTCGTACACACAGCACTTCAGAAGGCCATTGAAATTAAACCTAACAGGTGATAGATGAATTTTGTTAAATTACAAATCTGGTATATTGCAAATGACTACAGAGCACTTAACCAGGTTCAGCTCGACTCAATGAGTAAATACCAAGGCATAACTCCCACAACGATTAAAGTATTCCGCAATAAGTTACCTTAGTGCAGACTAAATCCGAATACAGTCTCCCATAGTCCTAGTCTCACGGAAGTGTCCCAGGTATTTCCTGGAGACTGAGGAAGCTGACACTTCACCAACCTGGTTTTTCACCCTCCAGTAGGCCTAAGCTCAGGCAACACCCAACTTCGCAACATTAGGCCTAGCCCCCATCGAAGACTCGATCGCCTTCTCCCTCTCCTCGACTTCCCCACGTGCAGGAAGCCTCGAGAGCGGCGGGGATTGGCCAATACAGGGTGGGCAAAAAAAAAGGGACGGCTTTCGACGACGCACTGCACTTCAGCACTGCAAATGTTTTAGTGCGATTTGCGGCATTTGGAAGAGGAATGAATAGACTTTCAAATGGTGTATTTGCACTTCAAGTATCTTCAGCAGTCTCATAAACTCGGGAGCTCATAGAACAAAAAGCTGCCGCGACTGCGGCCACTTGATTTTTGCTTATTATTTATAAAGAGCTCCCGAATTTCTGAACTGCTGAAGATATTTTGAAATGTAAATACATCATTTTAAACCTTTCGAATCCCGCAACTCCATTAAAATATATGCTGTGAGTGCAGAGATTAAAAACTGTCATTTTTTTGGCCCACCCTGTAGACGAGGGCAAAGCGTATTTCCTCTGAATATTGTTTGTCTGGTCTGCAACAGGGACGTGGTCAATAGCAAAAGGAATATCAGAAAATATTAAGTTACATAATGGCTCGAGGCGAAGAAGTCCGCATCAAGCGGAAGGAATTTCAATTTCGGGCTCGAAAAAAATGCCATTTCCCAGTTTCCTGTTGTTCGCGATGCGATTGCGCGTTTCCACGTTCACGCGCCCTTTTTAAGTGCAAGCCATTATTAAGAAAATAATGGTTTATTATCAAATAAACCATTATTTTCTTTGGGCCTCTCGACACCGTCTCCTCTGGTCTCAGTGAAATTGTGGATTTCGAGACGCGGACCGCCGAAACGATGAAACTCCCTGGGAGAATCTGCTCTCGCTGCATCGCATCGTGCGGCTTCGAATAAAATCGTCAGGATAAAAAAAAATTCAACGGTTTTGAAAACAGGCCGCGAAAAATATAGGTTTGATTGAAAAGTACCATTCTATCGGAAGTAATTCGCTTCGAATCCCACAGGAAACATCTAGCGGCATCGTAATCGCACATCTAATATCCTCTTCGGTCAGTCTGCGACTTGCGAGGATCCTCAGCGAGTGCATGGGACTCGGCTCCGAATTTTTTAAGGAAGTTTTTGACCCATTGGTTACATCTATACTTCTCCTGTACGACTAATAATTGTTGAAGCAGCTAACAGATGTCGCCCAATTACAGGGCCTTCTCTCATTCTCGCAACCGGATACGATGGCAGGGAGTTTCCATGCTTCGTGATTAGACAATCCTGGCTTCTCCTCTTGAGTTCTCACGAAGATACGGAAACGGCAGGTACCTCAAGGCGTTTGCTTCGTTCCGTTTTTCATTTATACTAGGATCTTTTTTTTTTTTTTTAGCAATTCCAACGAGTCTGCCTCGACGGAAACATAGCTTCTTTACACAGTCAACCCAACACGCCAAACATCACGATTTCTGACAATTTTTGTCGAAAGTTCTCTGACCGGAAAAAAAACTTGGAACGAAACGAGGAAGACAGGAGGAAAGACGAACAGCGAAGAGAAACGGAGAGAAGCACACCCAACCCACCAAGCGACCATGCTGACATCTGGCGAGTAGGTTTCGCCCCAAGGAATAAACGCGGCAGAGTTAGATCATTCCATCAGCCACGAGCCATTGAGGCACGTGGTGTGACGACGTTTTGGTCTCGACCCTTTATTGTAGCTAGTGTGTTGGTCATGTAACTCAAAAATTAAGGCTCGTTTCCTTTCCTTCATCGGAACATTTGAAGGCCCACGAATTTTCACAGACTCGTGTTTGGCTATGTTGGGCTTCATTCCACAAGTCTATCGAGGGACTAACGATCGGTCTCCCATTCCAAGAGGCCTGACTATATAGGCCTAGCCTACTAGAGCTAAAGCCCAGAAACGAAGTGGCAATATCTGTGGCGACTTGTTTGGGGGAATTTTTTTTTGTCTTTTACACACCTCCACCCTCGGCCCTTTAATCGACTCCATGTGCTAATCTCACATACTAGAAGGCCTGGGCCAATGAGGCCATCCACCCCTATACAATCAGCTCATTATAATTTTAATCCCCGCTTTATTGTTCTCCCGTCATATATTTTCTTCACTTTGTGTTCATGCTTCTTTTGACAATGTAAAGAGAACAAGTGTTTTCACATGAGGGGTTTGATCAACTTTCAGCATGCCAAGTTTTTTGCATAGAGAGGTTCAATTGGCTGACAGCATTTAGATTCAAGAGGTTGTGTTGAACCTGTTAGTTCCAGATATAAAAACGTTGGCATATGAAAGGTAATAGTTCGTTAAGTTTGTAACATTTAAATTTATCTTAGAAATTGTGAAGCTTCTTGTTGTCTGTGGTTTCAAAAAGAAAGAGAGATGCATTATGTACATGTAAATCAAGGAATTATCAATGGTATCAGAATAGATCACCCTCAACCACTTGGAATGAGACAGATACTGACCCACTTTGTCCACAGGGACTATCAGATGGTATGTTGTCAAATTAGGAAGCTGATGACTATACCAGACAGTTATTAGCTTCCCTAACTTGGACAACATACAGGGTGAATGTCAGCTTCCTTGTCATGGTTGGCATTAATGGGCCCCTATGTGTTGGTGGCTCTATACAAATCCATTTTGCTATACAATTGCATGCAGCCAATAAGAACAAACCTGAAGGAGAATAACATGAATTCAAGTATTGATGTTGAAATTCTAACGGACATCAGGATATAGTCATTCTGAAATCACTCCTCATAAGGCACTCAGGCCATAAGGTAGGCTAGGCTTGATTGAGTTCAGATCAGCCTAGATCTGCTGCTAGGCCTTAACATTGGGCTTCAGCAGACACAACTTCTTATGGATTTTTTCAGTTGCATTTGAAAATATTTTCCTTAAGACTTTTACTGCTAGTCAATGAACCAAACTTGTTATACCAAACTTGTTATAAGTTGCACAGGGCAAATCATTATATTACGCATATTGGAATTGAAATCAACTGGGTCAAGTGATGAAGATGTGTTTCAAATGATAAATAACTATTAAGTTGGTGCCTTTTTCAACCTTAGGTGAAGGTCTTGGTCTTTTAACAGCAATATCATTTAATCAGCCCAATTAGTATGCTCTATTCCTTCAGTCCTAATATATAGGTATTGATGCAGGATATAGATGCCCTGATTCAAAATGGATCCAAGGAAAATAAAGTCTAGGGCAACATTCAGTCCATCATGCAATTCAAAGAAGCAAAAGACAGATTTTAGTTCCCAGGAGGCCCTGCCAAAAACAGGAGAAACAGGGAAGTCAGCAGTAGAGTATGACTTCAACAAGAAGCGTGTTCGGATTCTATCTCTTGGACAAGATTTTGAAGAGAAGGGTGTTCTTTATTGGATGTCAAGGGATCAACGTGTAATGGACAACTGGGCTCTTCTCTATGGGCAGCACCTGGCTTTGAAGCATAGACTCCAATTTCATGTCTGCTTTTGTCTGGTTCCCCAGTTTCTTGATGCCACCATTCGACACTTTGGTTTCATGCTCAAAGGTCTTCAGGAAGTGGAAGCAGAATGTCAAGCATTAAACATTCAATTCCATCTCTTGAAGGGAGAGGCACCAACTGTATTACCTCAGTTTATCAGCCAGAATGCAATAGGAACTGTTGTGACTGATTTTTCTCCTTTGCGTTTACCATGTTCATGGGTGGAGAGTGTCCAAAAGGGTCTTCCTGAAGATGTGAGCTTCTTTCAAGTTGATGCCCACAACATAGTCCCTGTTTGGGAGACCAGCAATCAACTTGAAAGGAAAATATACATAACTCAAGATAAACTCAGGGGCAAACTAGCAGATTTCCTGAGTGAATTTCCTCCTGTGGTCAAGCATCCATTCATATGCAGCAAGCCCTGCAGTTCTATTAATTGGGATGAAGTCTATATGTGGTTAGAATGTGATAGGAGTGTCCCTGAAGTAACATGGGCCAAACCTGGAACTTCTGCTGGGATGAGGATGCTTCAAGACTTCATTCAGAATAGATTGAAGATGTATGCTGAGAAGAGGAATGATCCTACTGTGGATGCAACAAGTAATCTCTCTCCATGGCTTCATTTTGGCCAAGTATCTCCCCAACGTTGTATTCTTGAAGTGAAGCAACTCTCGGAGACATATCCTCAGTCAGTTGATAAGTTCATCAATGAAGCCTTCATCTGGAGGGAACTGGCAGAACACTTCTGCACATATTGCCCCCATTATGATTCCTTGGAAGGAGCTGAAGAATGGGCCAGGACAACGCTTGAGATCCATTCACAAGACCGACGACCATACATCTATTCTGAAGGTGAATTGGAAAGTGGGAAAACTCATGATCATCTGTGGAATGTTGCACAGAAACAGCTGGTGAAGGATGGGAAGATGCATGGTTTCCTACGAATGTATTGGGGGAAGAAGATTTTGGAATGGACTCCGAACCCAGAGGAGGCCTTGAAGATTGCCCTTCATCTGAATGACAAGTACGAGTTGGATGGACGGGATCCCAATGGCTATGTTGGTTGTATGTGGGCCATCTGTGGTGTTCATGACAAAGAGTTTGATGAACGACCCATCTATGGCAAGATTCGTTCAATGGTTTATGAAAGCTTGAAACGCAAGTTCAATGTGAGTGCCATCCTTATGAAAGATGGATCAATCTGCAGGCAGAGAAGGGTGACTGAATTTTTCAAGAAATTATAAGATTTTCTTGCTTCCAGTGAATAAAGGGTGCTCATACATGGAAGATGGTTCTTTTCTTTAAATAAATTTTTTTTAGAACATGAATTCATGAGGATTTATTCTACTTGAGAAGCCTTCCTAAATTCCTAAGGTCCTTGCAGAGATGATGTGCATGTGTGTCATTTATATCTCAAATGAATGCCCAGCAGGATGGAAGACTGATTGGTATGTGTGATTTGACGTATAATGTTATATGTGTAATTAATTTTGCAAATATCTATCAAGTATTGAAATTTAAAGAAAATGGAGTTATTTCATTTGTCATAGGACCTCAAGACTAATCTTTGCCAATTATAAGAAAAAATTGAAATCATTTGCCTATTTTGTCTTCTATTATGTCTCACAGGAAGCTGAAAGTGTACGATATCTGGCTGGCCTGGTCATCACCACTTCAAATGCAACTAGTGGAGAGGAATAGTGTGACCAGGTCTGCTACACCATTTAGGCAGAAGAAGGTACCAGAATCTTTTTTTCATGTAACATGAAAATATTGAGTACCTGTAGTTTCATCTAATTTTATTTTGTATGTAAACCAAACACAGAGACATCAAGATGTCTCTGTGTTTTATATGTGCTTATGTGTGCTGAAATTGTGGGGCATCCAAGTTCATGGAGACATGGTAGAGGTGTGGTCTGTGTAGAACATATTAAAGACATTAATGCCCTAAATCCATGGAGTTTTAGTCACTTTAAATCAGTGGTGCTCAACTTTTTTGGCTCAGGGGTTGCATTGCTCACTCCCACAGCCATGATGAACCACATGCAGTCACTGGTATTGTGGGAGATTGTTTTAAGGAAAGCTGTTTATTTATTTTTGGTTAGGGGCTCATAGGTCACTTTTTGCCTCTGGGCCATAGGTTGGGCACCACTGCTTTTAATGGTGCAATGGCCAAATGCATGCTTTCCAGATGAATTTTACATATACTATGTACCATTAGTATTTACTTACCTCTTTTGAAATGCTGAAGGTGCAACCATTGATAGTTTCAAACATGAGGATCATACAAACTTATTAATTTATCCGTACACAGTGATAGACATGGCAAGGCATGGCACAAAAGACTTAGCATTCAACCAAGAAGTTGCTGCTATTTTACAGAAACATAGTGAAATGCATAGTGATTTAACTGTCCAAGGTGATGACAATATGTTCTGAGATGAAGTACCCACACCAAATGTCAGTTGTATTGCTGTAAAAAATGGGGCTCCACTTACCCCAGGCCATTCTTTGTTAAAGAGAGTGCATTTTTAGATGTATTTGACATTGGGTGGGAAAATTTCCTTTCTTCTGAACTCTTGTTTTAACTAGATAATAGGGATATGTCCAATAACTCACTCACTTCCATGCTCTATTGAAGCTGCCACAACCTCAATATCATTCATGATTCAAGATTTAGCTTAATGCATGTTGAAACTCAGTTTAACATCCCAGCCCCCCACAGTATTATTTGATATGAATTTGCTATTGAAATATCTCATTTCCATTTAAGGAAGTACCATAACAACCAATATTGTAGCATGTGAACAAAGTTTGATTATGTTATAACAGAGTGTTGACATTGTGTTAGCTGTGGCAACACAGGAGTGAACTCCCTAGAGGAATTCATTCCTGTATGTGCATGTGGTATATTTGCAAGAAAGGGAGGTGGTGTGGCTCATTTAAGGGGTGTTTCACCTGGTGCTCTACATGGTAATGCATGATACCCTCTGCTTCTCACTGCAAGACCCAGACATAAAGTTTCCATATGGACACATGACTGTGTCTACTCAATTTGATGGCCTTCTCTTGTCATTGTTTTTGGAGAAAACAAGATTGCTTCCACTTTTTACCTACATGCATCATTCCTACTTATTCCATTATCCTGGCCACCAAGAATGATGTAAATTTTTATTCTGTCTGACTTCTAGTAAGTCAAGCAGATTTCATATTCCCTTATACTACATATTTGGCCAGAAGTGTCATGACCAGTCATGACACTTCCTACCAGACCAGTTTTGACTGAACATTCAAGCCAGATAATAACATGTACATTTTTCACAAATGTGATATCATGAACTGTGGCTGGTGTATGCATATTATCAGAGAATTAAGTGGCATGAATTGATCAAGGAACAAATTTAGCCCAAATAATGGGCCTGTCAGTTCTTGACGAAGAGGTTTTGCTAACTCATTGAGATACCTCAGGCCATCAGTGGTGACATTGCATTTCCTTTTCAGCAACCCTCCCAATGGTACCATTTCATTCATTCATCTGGTAGTGATTTAATGTCTCCTTGCCCATGATTCCCAGAGGATCACTTGCTATTATGCATGTGTGACTAATCTTTGTACTGTCAACTTCTTGGTACAGTTCATGAATCTGACAGCTTCATCTGAATGTGATTGTGGCCCATATTGAGAGTGATTGTCCATTTCCTGCGTTGAGATCTCAATTGCTGGAAACTGTAAACCTAGAAGAAAAAAGTGGTATCTCGGTGTCATATATTTTAACATAATTAGCTGACCTGTTCACAGGATTGATAGCGAAAAAGAAATAAAAGAATTAATCAATCAAATGGAATGGGAAATGATGGGAAGGATACTTACAAGTAAATCATGGGTCATCATTATAGATTTCTCAATTTTTCCTGCTGTCAAAATCCAAGAACTTGAGAGAGACAGATTTTTTTTCGGACAGCTTTCTTTATTGTGCTTTTAATATTTTGTCAAGCTCGGTTAGCCTTCGCTCTCTCGCTTCCTCATAGATAAAATCTGCAACCAGAATTTAAAAAAATTCGGCAAAGATATGCGTTGCGATGCTGAAGCATTAGGGAATTCCAACTCTGCTTCATTCGCATCTGCTCTCATACGCGAGATCGTCTACCGAGCATGATTAATTGTATTCGCAGCTTTGAACAACACCCGAAATACTTTTTTGAAAAGCGTTACTGAGGCTGCCTTTCCAGATTGCTTTTGTCTGTGATGGCATCATTCTTTGATCATGCCACCTGGTGATGCCTGAAACACATTTCATTCGTGACTAGACCGCCGGTTTCAACCCGGACAACTTGGCATATGGAGAGTTTCTTATTCTCACTGGAGGAAGAAGAGGAATCTCATATTCCTCGTATATAGGAAAAGCATCCAGGAATTCAGTCGTTAATACCACATCAAATTTTTTTATTATCTTGACTTTTTAAATATTTATCAAACTCCTGAAACTCTCCAAGACACTCCCACTTCTATCTGTGCTGCGAAATTGTACCAGTGGAACCAAGAGTTCCAATTACTCCGCTTCATCGAGGGGCAGCGAGGCGGAACGGTGGATTCAAAACAGGAATCACGTGGCTGAACCCCTCCAATCCTGGGCAGTGGAGCAGTTCCCCCGATTCCCTCTTTCCACGACTCTGGGGCATTCTTTTTGGTGCGTTTGGTATGGCGCAGGGGAGTTTTCATACTGCATAATTAGATTAAGTGTATTGTTCACTGGACGTGTTCTCGATCCAACGGATTTAAAAAAAAAACTTTACTCTAAGTTGCCACAATTTTTTTTGGTTCAACGCAACGTGATTCGATCTAACATGATTTCATGTCGTCCTATATCCTGCACTTGATTTTTTTAAATTCGATTGCGAGAGATTTCTCGATTTGTTTGCAGACGTGCGTTTCTGCGAAGCGCAGTCGAAGTCTTTAGCCTTCCATGAAACCACGTAATCCCGAAAGCATTGGTTGGAAAGTCACTCCCTGTTTTAAAGTAACAACTTCCGTACATTTTTAACTAGAACAATGGCTCTTGTGCCAAAAGAAAGAGAATTCGATGGGATTTTATGATTTTACTGACATGTTTGTTTGCAGTGGCCCACCATGGTGTCAAAATAGAATCTTCTGCACCGTGCGCAAACAGCTGTCCGGCATGAGGTGTGGAGGCCCTCCGTTATGGCCCTGTGGTGGTGGCGAAAGGAGGATGCCTTGGATGCAACTTCCTACTTCCTCTGTCTCCAAACCTCATATCGCATATAATTTGCGCAGTGTCGAAAATTCAATGTTGGCACCATGGAAGATCACTGCGAACAAGTCAATCAGTAAATCATAAAACCACATCGAATTCTCCTTTTGACTCAAAAACCATTGTTCTAGTCCAACGGTTCTCAATCTTTGTGTTCGTGGACCGCCTTTTTTTCCCTCTATTGCACGGAACACCCCTTACCTAACTATAACTAAAAACACAAAACACGTAGTGATAAAGTCTTTAAAGAAGGCGAAACAAATAAAAAAAAAGGAATATGATTTCTGGACCATGTCCGCGGACCACAGATTGAGAATGCTGTTCTAGTCCAAAGAGTACGGAAGTTATTACAATATTAAGACAGGGAGTCACCTTCCAACCACCCTGTATATCAGTTGATCGGTCGACGATGTAAATGTGGAGCTGCATGCCTCTTCACTTCTAGATAGCAAGTGACAAGAGGGACTTGTTTGCTCTAGATTCGTGGGCTCTTGAGTTGTCTCGGAGCTCCGATTTCCTATCGTTTTTTCCATTTTGTTCCATTGCGAACTGAGTTGCTTCCATCCGCCATGCGAAAAATAGAAACGGTTCTCTTTCACCGATTTCGGCAGTGGTCCTTTTCGCGACACAGGTATTTCATGAAATCCATAAACGATCCGAGTGTTCCGAGGGTAACAAAAAAAAAATTTGCTGTTAGCGATGCACTATAGGTTTTCTTCACTACCCCCGCATTTGTTTGATGTGGTACCCGTGAAATGAGAAGTCTGCGATCTCACTCACAGAGGCGGAAAATCGCGGCGTTGAAATGTATATACAGGTATATCCTTTTCCTGAGTGATTGGATATTTACATTTTCATTCTTATTGGATATCAAAAGTGCAACGCCTTTCCAGGTTCCACGTTTCATTCCACGTTTGATGTAAATACGGGGAAGCTTGGGGGTGGGAGGGGGGCACTCCAAAACAACTATTGTCCAATGAATTTAATTTTGAACGTTGAAATTCTCATGAAATCCTAATGGAAACTATCCTTGACCTCATTCGAACGATGAGGTTCTCTTTGTGTACAAATCCGATAATGAAACGATATTGCAGGATTCTTGCAATCCTTTTTTTTTACATTTCCTTCATTGCATTTAGGTGAGGAAATTGTGTTGGAGTACGAGGAAAATAGAGTCTAAATAAACGTCCAGGGCATTTACAACTGGGAGATAAGTGTTAGCCGTCCTTAAAACGTCAGGGCTCAGAGAAAACCTATATCCTCAGATTAGATACTTCGGGGGGGAGGGGGGGGGGCATTTCTTGCCTTTTATCATGTCTTCCCTATCAAGGGGGGAAATTTTCGTAGTTGTGTTTTTTTTGCGATTGCGCGATGTTGCGATGGCATCGAAGCGAAAACCTACCTTCAGACCTGGGTGAATGCCACGCTCAAATCTTTGGTTTCAGTTGTGTACAATAGACTGCACATTAGGATTCTGGTTCCACCAAGACGTTGCTTGCTCATGTGTCATCTGATTAGAAAAACTTTTCTGCATCGGTAAAGAACCTTTTCCACCGAACTGCCTTGGTTAACCGTCCTTAGGCGAGATCCACGATCCTGTTGAAGGTTTCTCGCTAAGAGAGATTTCTTCTCGGAATTATTTATTCATTCCTAACCGAATCTTCGTTCCTCGGGAGACTCTTTCCTTCTGGGCTTTCACCGAGCAACCCTCTTGATGTCTCAACATCATTTAAACCGAGTTCACGACTGCAAACGAGAAGGCGTCAAGTTTGAATTTTCCGTCCTCTAACTTCCATCATCCTCCGGTGAGTTTCCAGTTCTATTCACCCTTTCGGTAACACAATAGCCTGCAGTTTCCTTTCGCCGTCGCCTCTCTTTGCTCGTTCTGCTGGCGCCGTTGGGGATCTGACTCCAGATAGCCCTTCTGCCGAGGTCGGAATCCGTTGCAAATTTGGACCCCGGGGAAATCTACCAGTAATTCTCTTCTAGCGTACCTTAACGGAGACTCAAGAGAACAGAATATGGTACCCATCACTCGCCAAGCATATTAGGATCTCTGTTACCACTTTCCGAAGTGACAAAGTAGAGGAAATTGCTTGGAGCACTGCTTGGTAGGGAATATTTCCCATTCAAAGCGACAATTTACGATCTTATGCCTACTTTGAAATGGCTGGAATCCATCTAAAGCGCAAAAACCGGCGGAAGGTTTAATCGATGCATGAGTTATTCTTGCACTGATTTGGAAACGCCAGCCCAGCTGCAATTGGGTCCTAGTTCCGGCTCAAACTTGGGTCTGACTGAAGTTCCTCTTGACTATGCTGTCACAGGGGAATCCCAACTGTAACTGGAAATGAAATAAAACTGGAACCGAACTGCATTTTGGATGAGGCCTATAACGGACCGAGAACAGTTAATAAGTTAGACGATGCAGTGCTGATTAAAAAGTTTGGTCATTATTTTTCATAAAACCTTTCTCTTTCGATGCTCTCCGAAATTCTAAGGGAGATCAGGGGATTTGAGATTTTTGAGGAAGGGTGAAGTGGGAAGGTGACATAGTTGCATTTGTAGTTTGGGGGCCTCTGGCACATGATACACAGTGTCGGTGAGTAATTGATACCAAGGTACCGTGCGTAATAGGTACCATGATATCGATTATGTGGTTCACTATCGATCTGTTTAATAGTGCCTTGCTCGGTTACCAATGGGGTTTCTCCAGGGCCCTTTGTTAACGTCGCCTTGTCTAAAATTGATTTGTGTCTAGACGGTACGTTACCATGGGAGTTAGTCCAAAGCGGAAATTGCTTCAGATCAAGAAAGCATGGAAAGGCATTAAAACTATTTGGGGATTTGGACGTAAATAATGTCTTTCGTGACTCCTAGCGATGTCGATCGCATCCTAATGACAGTTCTTGAACTGTCATGACTTGGGTTCTCAAGTTTCAATGTCATTCGGTGATGCCCACCAATTGCTGGCAGAACGTTCTGCCAGCATCCGACTTCCAAACCTGACGACCGTGAAGGGCCTCCGCAATATGAAGCGGCTTGCTCCAAGTGGGACCGAGACTGAGTGGCAGGCTTCGTTCCAGCACCGCAAGTCGACTCGACATGGACGAGGTCCGATTCGAGGTCGAACATCAGGACTCGATGTATAGTCGACTCTGCATATTGGAATACTCACTGGACCGGCGAACTTAATTCTACTTTGTATAATCCGGAGTATTCCAATAACCCAAACTATCTGCTGTATCGTACCGTAAGTCGGGAATGTACAGTGATATTCCATTATGCAGAGTCGACTGTATTTTAATCTTATTCAACACGTGTGATTTGAGTGGAGACGGTTTGAGGATGAGTCGGCCTTGCTCGATCCTATTTAACGCTTTCGTTAGGTCGACATGGAATGAGGCGAAGAAGCGGTTGAAAAATATAGGGTGAGGCAAAACAAACGCGCAGTTCTTCGGTATTCTTTGGATTTCATGAGAAAGCAGATAGCTCGTAAAAAAAAAACATTTTCAGAGAATTTTACGTATCCTTGAAATGTCCTAAAATTCGTGCAAAATTATCTCCAGCCGTTTTAGCACAGGAGCAAAAACTCGTCGGCAATTCGAATATTATTTTTGCGCGAGGAAACATATTAGTGAAAGATTGGTTGTAACGCATGAAGTGCACCAATGTCGGACCAGTGCTCCTCTGTCTGCTCATGAAAATGCTGCTCTTTTTAATGGATGAGGAAGGACAGAAATGTGCAAGAATTTCCTGGTAAAGGAGGAAAGAAATGTAGACCTATCGTTAAGAGCTTAAGTCACAAGCTGCGAGAAAACGGTTCATCCGAGAGGAAAAGGAGCGGAAGACTAAAACTAGCCCGAACTGAAGGAAACTGCGCTCATGTGGATGAAGTCATTGCTTCTCTAAGTGCCTTGAAAAGAATTGTCATTCCTTGTGAGTGGGGCAGGTGCGAGTGCAAAAATAAATTCCAGTTACTTTTCATGAAATCACTCTTGTGCTAAAACGGCTAAAGATAAACAATGTTCTGATCCTCAAAGGATGCGGAGAGGTGTGTATGAAAGAAACTTTGTTTTTCTAGCTGCCGCTTCAAAGGCAGCACGAATTTTTAAAGAGCGGCGCGTTTTTTTTTTTTTGCTTCAAGCGGCATATGTTGATGGAAGCCGCCTGACTTCGTCAGATTCGTCTTCGCCGTCACCCTTGTTTACACGAAGGTGGCGTTAGAGTAGAACCAGCTTTTAATTAATTTTTTAGTGTACTAATGCCTCATTTGCATGATGCATGAGATACTCGCATTGAAACATATGACATGGTGATGAATAAAGAACCATCTTGGCTGCTCGTAAATGAATACGAACGTCGAAACGAGCGAGAAAGTAGTTGATGACCGAATGCATTCGGTGAAGGAAAACCGCATTCAAAAAATTTTCCCTCAGAAGCTTACCTTTCTGTCAACTGCCTCGTGGACTATGAAACAGAGTGCATATTGTTTGTTGTGCTAATTGTTGTGCTAATTGCTCGTTCCGGTCTCTGACTTCCTCGTGAGAGCAAGAGAATACCGGATGTTGGCAGGAATTCATGTGAAACGAAATTGGAGTTCAAATTGAGGGCAACACGCGATTACTGCTTTTTTTTTATTCTCTCTTTAGCAACCCAGTTGTTCTCCGTCGAGACGGTATGGCAGGACGAAGTTCCTCCAAAGGGAGATCAACTGAATGGATTGAAATGGCAAGTGCCTTGCCTGGCTCCTGCGTATTGTTACAGCGTCCTAAGGTTAATGCAGGATAATTTTTTTGTTTACGTAGGAAAACAAGATCTGGACTGGAACAATGACATTACTGTGCATCCTCCTCTCATCGCTGGAATGGTTGGCTCGAACAGTGATAAACTTAATTTGTGGTCGAGAGTGCTCTTGTGAGTCTTTCTGACATCTTGTCTCGTATCTTTTACGTGAAGGAAGGCGATTTCTTGATTTGACCATCGTTGCTGACATTTTCCGTAGATTCTCCACTCAGAGCGGAAGAGGATATCAAAGTGGAAGAGGATATCAAAGTGGTAGAGGATATCAAAGTGGCAGAGGATATCAAAGTGGAAGAGGATATCAAAGTGGTAGAGGATATCAAAGTGGAAGAGGATACCGAAGGACGGGTTGAATCCCCTCATGACAAAAATTCTTCCTGTTTACCCATTGGTGAGCCTCCTTGCCCTTCTTCTCCTTCCCCCCCTCCCTGGCCCCAAGGTCCACTCCCCTTCCATTTAGGGGAAGGCAATTCCCCAGAGGATTTCAATGCTTTGTGTCTATGTTTCCTCCTGCAATTTCGTCAAAGCGAAGACTGGTTTCACAATTTTGGAAGAGCGTGTGGCTTTTCCTAAAAATCTCGAAACTAGAAAGAGTTAGCGATCGAATATGGCACCCTTGTAGATCTAGCACTGTAACCTGGTAAGTAGGAATTTCACTTGAATGCGTTCAATAAATTAGGCCAATGTCATTGGTGAAGTGGATTAAAGTTTTTCCCCCAAAAAATTCTCTAAAACTTATAAAGATTTGTTCGGTAAAGTTTGACAGTTCTTGGACGAGGGTCGGGCAAGCAAAATTAATGTTCGAAAATATTCAATGGAGAGCCATTGAACAGCAGGGGCTCCCCAAATGCCCTTGCTGAATTAGTTCACAGTTTTTGCAGGAATTCAAAGCCAGTCTTTCAACAACCTTGCATCGCCTCTTAGTGCGCCATTTACGTATTGGAGTTGAAGAACGCTGAGATGTTGAAAGCTCTGAGTACCCCTCGGGAGAAAATAATTTTTCAGTACCGGACGTCCACATTCCATTTTGTGTCTTAGATCGGTGGAGCAAATGGTCAACTTCTCTAGTGCACAAGTTACTACAACATCGCTCTGATAAAAAAAAAAACCTTCTAAATAATTTGTTCACCGATTGGAATAGTCCCTTTACACTGATCATGCCTTTAGACCTTGCCCATATTTCGACGGACACGATATTTGCATTTAGGATGCACGTACTCACAGAAATGATTCCTCTCATAAATCCTCCTGCATTGGAGAAAATGCCACCATAGCGATTGTTGTAACTGAATATTGGTGCTTGACTGACAGATCTGGGTACCTTGGGGCCACTGCATGTGTGTGTACACTAAGATGACCTAGAAACGAAACCGTTTTCGTAAATGTTTCGAACGTTACCTTAGACTTGGAGGGTCCACTTCCACCAATATGTCAAGATCTTCCAGAAGGTCACTTGAGGAGGGGAAAAAAAGTACTCAAGAGAGAAGGGAGAAAGAAGGATTGGATCAAGAAGAGGGAACGTTCTTCCATGGACAGGTCTGTTGTTCCCTTGCTCTTCTGCAGTTTGAAGTTAATGCTACGTGAAAGGTTAACGAATTCTTTAGTTCCAACGCTCTATCATGGTGTTGCTGCTCTCTCGGCTTTAAACGCGGTGCCAATTTCTGTGTACCATTATTATCCAATTCCGATACAACAGGGAGGACAAGGCATTGGGAATCCAGGAACAGCAGATGAGATCCCGGGTTGGAACTGCCAAAAAGGTGTGTAAATTGTGGCCGTCGTCCCATTTTAGGAGAGGAGGATTAAAGTTTATTTCCGTTCGGTTGTAGTCACCAACTGCTCATTTTTCCCATAGGAGCGACCGCATGATTGCGAAGTCTTGAAGGAGCTGGCTCGTATGAGAAACTTGGAAAAGTTAGACGAAGACCCCCGACAGAAAAGTACGGTCTGCCTCGATGGAAAAAAGGATTTACCATTCGTTGAAGCGGCCACGATATATCAAGAAAAGTATTATCCGGACGTAGAGAAGTCCTACGCCTTTCCAGCGGGTTACGTGCTCCGCGTAGGAAAGAAATCTCTCCAAGAGATTTCCGACAGGAAAAATGCCCAGGAAATACACATTCGACCGGCCAGTGCAGTCGCCAGAGTGTTCGATTGGATGAAGGAACTGCTTGCCGACTTCCCGAGTCTCGTTCTTTATGATTACGATTTCGTTGAAACCTTCGGCAGGACGAAGGAGAACTGCGCCGAAGTGATGACGGAAAAGGGCGATCACGATGTCCTTGCCATTGCCCTGGATGGCTCCCGAGTTCTTGCCCTGTTCTTCGAGATCAAAAGCAGGACGCAAACGAGCAAGAAGCCGCCATTTTTGGTTCACATCGGAAAGGCCGAGCAACAGCTGGAAAAGAGCGAACGAGTCTTCCGCCAATGGGTAGGAGCAACGGCTTTCACCCATACCATCCTCTGCAGCTTCGTCGCCTTTCCGTGTCTATCGAGGACGGACGTGAAGAAGTCCTTGCATTGTTGCCACGAGAATATCCTCACCGGTGACGACCTCGAGTCCCGAAGCGCCTTCAGGAGGTTCTTCGCGAGTCACGGCATGAGGTTCACGAAGCAGACCCGCGAAGACCCAGCCGCCAGACGATGCTACTTGGACGCGATGAGGACTTACGTCGCAGCCTCCGCATCCGTCCGAGGTCTGCCGAGGACGAGAGCGGAACTCGACGAGAGCATCGACGAGAGGCTGGGTGAGGCCTTCGTTCTCCTCACTCCGCAGCAGCAGGAAATCCTTGGAACGGATCGGTCGGTCCTTTTCCTGGCCGGCAGTCAGGGCACGGGGAAAACCTATGTGATCCTCGAGAGAGCCAAACGGCTGGCTCGGCGCGGCGAAGCGGTCAGGATAATCAACATGTCCGACGGGAAGCTCACCGATCACATCCGGCAGTGGCGGGAAACCCTCGGACCCGAGGCCGATGTAAAAGTCATGGGTTCGACGGAATTCCTCGCCGGCTGCGATCGCAGAACCGTCGAATCTCTTGCCAAGTGCATCTCCACCCGAGAAGCCGTTCACGTCCTGGTGGACGAAATGCCGCTCAACTTCGGCACGGCAGACTCCGACCCGGAAAAGATCGGACGAAAGTGGAGAGCCCTGGCGGACAAGAAGATCCGCGGAAGCCTGTGGATCGCGTGGCGCCCCAGCGACGATTCCTACAAGGAGGCTCTCGAGCTGCAGCGGGTGATGGAGGCCGTGGGGATGGGGAAGGTGGAACTCCTCACGGAGATGAAGAGGAACACCAAAGAACTGGGAGAGTTCGTGGTCCAGGTCACCCGGTTCGTCGAGAAGAGATTCCCGAGCTCCGGCTACCTGCCGGTGAAGGGTTTCGAATACGGACTTGGGAGCAGGGAGGAAAACGGCTTACCCCAAGTCGTTTACCCGCATTCTCCGGAACGGATCGCTTCACCGATCTGTGCTTTACTGATGGCGTGTGAGGTCGCAATGGATATCCGGAGATCCGCACCGGATTCGCCTCCGTTAACCATCATGACCAAAGACATAAAGGATAGGAATGTCCTGGTCCGTGGACTCGGTCATCGCAAAGCAAGCGTCGCCTTCCTGGACCTGCAAGGCAAACTTCGAGGCTCTGTCAAGCCAGAGATCCTCGTCTTTTATGAAGGTCAATCGATCGGCATGTCCTTCAAGCATCTCCTCCTCCTCGACGACGCATGGCATCCATATGGCTCTTGGTCCCGGGTCGTGAGCATGGCCCAAGCATCTCTCCACGTCGTCACGGTGATCTCGGCGGACTCGTTGCCCTATAGTCGCTGGGAAGAACCCGAACGTAAAGGTCTCGTCGCTTGCAAACCCAAGCCATACCAGAGGCGCGGATGGCCCTCCTTCGATCGTGCCTTTGAATCTCTGGACGAGTCTTCGTCTCCGGAAATTTCATGGACCGACGGAATCCACCTGCCAGAATTTTTCCCCTCGAGAAAAGTTGAATCCGAGCAGAAGATCGAGCTCGTCCTCGGACCGAATCGTTCGGGAAAGACGACGTTTCTCGCGGAGAGACTCATGCGAAGAGCCGAGCAAGAAAGAGAAGAGATGCGGAGAGCCTCGGAGAGTCTGCATCGAGGGACTTCGACGAACGGAAGACAGAAAGCACGGATGATATTCGTGGACGGCAATAGGTGCTGCCTGGACTCCTGCAAGAGCCTCTCCACGGCCTGCATCAAAGAGAGGTTGAAGAGGACAGAACCGAAGGACTCGGTCGAGGTGGTCGACATCTGCGACCTCCTTCAGCAAGGATGGCCTTCCCTGTCCCCCACCTCGATCCAAAATCTCCTCCAGCAGATGCTGGCGGATTGCAGCGCGGAAGGACGGATGCTCCACGTCGCCTTCGATAACGTCAACGTCCATTCCACCAGCATCCCCATGGACACCGGGGGTTTGAGGAGGGAATGGGAGTCCATTCTTGAGGTTCTCTTGTCTCGATTCCGAGACTCTCTGGGATCTCTGGCCATCGCATACCAGCCTTACGTCTCCTATCGAATGACCGCCTGCGACGCGAAGGAGTTCGTGAATAAATTCCGACGCTTTCCTGAGACAAGTGAGGGCATCAGTGTCCCTTGTGAGATACGCGAGGCGCACAATGAAACTATGCTTTTTTTCGTAAAAAAAAGTTATTTCGGAGTTAGTTACGTGGTATGGCCTTAAAGTCGCTAAGTGATCTGAACCCAATTTGCATTTTGTTCGAATGAATATTTAAAAAAAAAATAGAATGTAGCAATGCAGTCAGTGCGTCTGTTTCATAGTAGCAGGAAGTTAGTATGATTGCTATGAAAAATGTAAATTTTCCGTCTTGTCACTGTCAGGCCACTTGCACCCTGCAGATGGATGCTTCGAATTAATTAATGCGTTCAATTAATGTGAAGGCATGAACTGGTAACGTTCACACTTTTAACCAACTTTCTGATATCTCTGAATGCGTTAAAAATTAATTAATTCACTTTGAAGACCAATTACCGTTGGATTTGGAAGGTTCCCACATCCATCAAGTAGCGGTGTCGTGAAAAAATATTTTCTTGTGGGTCTCAAATGGATACACACTAAGGGAAAGGGTCGGATCCGCCTCTGGCAAATAAAACGAAGTTGGATATGCGCAAAAATCCGGCGCAAAAATACAAAAAAATTTCAGATTCGAACAGGAATTCTTGAAACGAATCTTCGTCACGAACTTGAGTTTTCCTTGCCCCACCCAATAGGGGTGAGGATCTTGGGAGGGGAATGCTGGGACGTGGGCTTTCCCCGTCTCTTCCGTCACGTTCTCGACCACGAATCGCCTCGGGAGCTCAGCGTGAAGCAAGGGACTCTGAGGACGAAGCCGCGGCCCTCCTCTTTCGTCTTCGGGGAGAAGCCCGTCTTCGTCACTTCTCCTCCCGGGGATCATTGTCACGGGGGGTTCAAGTGTATCGACGGTCAGGGCCGCGGATGCGTCGCCGTCACGGCTGCTGCTGCTCGACTCGATTCCCTTTCGTCTTCGGTTGGGTGCATTTCCTCATTGCGTTGTTTCCCTCGTCTCCGAAACGAGGGATTTGCTTCCTCTAGTGAGAAAATGATGAATTTGTGGACGAGGTTGCTCGTGTCCCTCTTCGCAGGAGAAAATCGTCGTACTCATCTCGAGTGCAGAGATCCAGGAGATCTTCAGAGATGTACTGGAGAGGGCGGCGAGTTTGAGAAAAATAGACGAGGCGATGACGATTTGCCACCCAAAGGATTACCGCGGATGCGAGAATCACACCGTGATGTGCGTGGGCGTCGAGGACTCGTGGATGGTGGAGGGGATCTCCCGGGCCATCCGGACCCTCCTCATCGTCGACGGAGGGAATCACCAGGTGGCACAGAGCCGGATGGAACTCTGGCTGGAGATGGAGCGGAGAGGCTTCCTGATCCACCGATCTCAATCATCCACTCCTGCCCTCGACTTCCTCACCGACGGGGATTGGAGGGCGTTGAACAGGAAAGGCCACTTCCTCAAGGTATGCTGCCGTCATCCAGAATACAAAGAGTAATATCTCTCTCATCTTGTCCCGTAATGTAATCATCTCTGCAGATCCCCATCGGCCCTGTAATGGAGGACGCGAGAAGAGAACCCTTCGGCGACGAAGGTAAACCACGACAGGCAGAAGTTCATTTATTCAACCGCTGGTGGCTCGTGATATTTAGCAATAGTGGATCGTCAATTGAGGCAGGTTGAGTCGACCCTACCTCCTTGGACGATCTAATCTCGGCGAGTTTCACGGGTCGCCCATGAATTCAACGGCCATTAGTATACTGTGCAGGGTATAAGTGAAGGAACATAAGAAAATTTCCGGAGTTTATTCTTCAAAATGACAGATGGCAGCACATTTTCATACCTCTTTTTAATCAATTTGGCGTACGATAGCTGCAGTCCCGTGAAGATTGCTCCCACCTTGTTCACTGAAATTGGCGGGAAACGAACAACCAAAATCCACCTGGGATGAAAATGGCACTTTTGGTGATGTATCATTTCCATTACTGTTCGTGTTGATGACCTCCATGCTTGAGTTTGCACAATGTTGCCATAATCTGACAGACTACATTTGGAAGTGATATTTAACTGTTGTGTTGTGTTGTGAGTGTTGTGAAATAACGTAATAATGATATATTACATTTAAATAAAAAAAACGAGCGACGAGCGGAGTTGGTGTCGACGTTGAACGTCGATTCAACGCGGGTTTAGCTAGTCGCCCGGGGAGAGTGGCATTCCCAGGAATTATTTACTGCATTTATTCGGTGCATCCAAAGAGGAGGACCAGGGTTCACTTTACAATTTTTCTTTTCATTACTAAGTCAATACGACGCGAAATATTGATATTGAAAACGAAAGCGATCGTTCGAACATCGAGAGACCCTCGTTGCGTCTTCTTCGGGAGAATTGCACGGAAGTCTTTCAAATCAGCGCAGAAAGAACCTATTCAGTCGTTGGAAATCTTGCAAATGCGTGCTGGTATCGGTATTTTGGCGCACTCTTCTGAGAAATGTTGATAGCAAGTAAATTTCATTCTAATTTTCAGTGGCCCACGCTCCAGAATGACTAACTTTCATGAACACTTTGACAAAAGGAGCTTACTCTATCGTCTTTGGACCGTAATATTTTCTAAGCGCAGTGTAAGACAGGAAGTATAGAATCTGGCAGTTTTTTTTTTTTAATGGCATGTACATGTAGCCTAACAAATCATAATGCACTTTTTTATGCCGTATTTCTTTTTGCAGGAATAGAGAGGATTTTCGCAATCGGGATCGGCACAGATAGACGGCAGGGGTTGTGGGAAGTTCATTCCTCCCCGACTTTCTGGATCGATGACCCTTACGTCAGCGACGACGTTCTCCTCGCCCACTCGAACAGAGTCATTCGATGCAGAGGAAGGAAAGTGGAAATCCTGCATCTGGAGGGGAAGGACCCTCGCGAAGCGCCTTACGGATGGGACGAAAAGTTCCACATCCCCAGCCCGTTCCTGGTGCAGGACTCAACGGGGGCGATCGCGAACGGGTCTCTCTTCATTCTGGGAGGCGAGAGGAATCCCCGAGATGCACGCCGGCTGGACCTCGGGGCTGGGACGTGGACGACCCTCCCCCCGATGGGAGGAATGAGAAATGGGGCTGCCTCGGTGGCGTGGGACTCTCACACCGTTCTGGTGTTGGGTGGGGAGACCGTCACCCCAGAAGGGGAGGCTTTCCCCTTCAACCTTTGCGAGTTTCTCGATACGAGGACGGGGCAATGGTCACTTTTCCCGTTTCTCATGCCGGTTTCTCTCCGCACGCATGCAGCCACTCTTCATCATGGTTCTGTATTCATCTCGGGAGGCATTGATACGTGGAAATCGTTATCTAGTGGGAGACCGCGAGAAAGCAGGAGAGTATGGAAGTGCAAGGCTGGTGGTCCCTGGGAGCGTCTCCCTTCCCTCAACAAAAGAAGACATCAACATGGAATGATCGGACACGGCATGGGGGAACTCTCAGTCTTCGGAGGCATTCACGTATCGAGTCCAGAGCGAGCCACTGTCCTTCAGAGAGAGACTCTCCGAGAAGACGGAAAGGAATGGACGATGAAGGGAAAACTTCCCTTCACCGAGATCTGGAAGGCGACGGAGATGAAGTGAGTTCGTGCAGTTCTTGCTCTTTTCAGCCGTCTGGGGAAACTCCCCCTCTGATTTCAGGGGATCGTCGGTTCTTCCTTCCAGGTTCGACCGATGCGACTAAACCAAGCTGTCGTTGTGAGAGTGTTGCGTACAGTTCTATGTTTTCTCGCGAGGATGCGGCAAGGAGGGCATCATCAGTGGGTACGGTCGGTCATGATGATCTCGAGTTGGTTGCCGCCAAATATTCGAATCAAGACTTCTTATTATTAGCTTCGCAGCTTTAAGCCTTCGTCTGCTAATGATGCGTTTATCGTCGATCGTTTTCAAGATTCTTTTCATATCCTGCTTGTCATACGATAGTGATTGAAAGTCTCGGAGTCCATTGGTGAATTGCTTCCGAGATCTCACATCAAGGAAGTGCTTTCTGACATTGCCACTCGGAAAGAATCCCCATCGCCCCTTCTCGGCGAGACCAGCGGAACGAATCAGCGGTAAATACTTGCAGCTCGTGAGGAGGCAGGACCGAGCTCGAGAGGACCCGAGCCCCAAGCGGACGCATCCATCTGCCTGCATCCAGGAGACGCGGCCGCAATGTGGACGAGACGAGGAGGAGGAGGATGTTCGTGGCGAGGGAGGCGAGTTGCGAGTTCTCTGCGCGCCTCAGAGTTCCCGTCGCTCGTCTTGCTCGGAGGCCTTGGAGTGAGACATCTTACGAAGCTGGCGTGGGCTTTGTCACTCAGAAAAACTAATTATTTTGCAGGGCTGATTGTTCCCATCCTCTTCGTTTGCTCATGACTTGCTTTACTCATTCGTTTTCATCGTGTTGGCTTCAGAGCCGATCGATCGAAGAATGCCTGTCGTATGATCGTGAGAAACGCACGAACGGAAATGCTAAGCAATCGATCGCAACATCCACTTCCGAAGATGCTAATCCTTTGTTATTATCGTTATAAAAACGACACCTTAAAAGGTCATACCACTTTTTTATGCTTGTCCATCGAAAACAACAAGTTAGGGCGTGGAAAGAGCACGATTGCAAACCTTTTCCCTGGCTCCATGCTTTATCTCGAACCCTCAACCATAAAAAAAATTACGGAGAAATTCCGCTCCTTCACGGTTCATTTAACCTTAAGTCGGGATCTACTACGAAGGGTAAACCCCCGCTTGAAAACTCGGTCGCTCATCCATAACCCTCGGATATATTTATCGTCCACGAGTTAAATCCGGACGGATTTTCCTGTTGGAAGTTCACGGGGAAACAACATGCGTTTCTAGCTGGCATAATTTGAGGGTTTTGAAATTCGCCCGAGGGGTCACACGTGCTTGGAAACCGATATTTTCGACATTCATATCTCATGTACGAACAGGAATAAAATTATATGTTTTGGATTTTGGAGTTTCATATGAGATCGGTTAACTGAAAATTTTAAATTTTTTTCTGAGATGGTCGAGCGTCATGTCAGTTGGCATGGAATAGCATGTCAGTTGGCAGAACCAATCCGAACCATGTCTTACCAATTGCAAGCTTTCTTTGCATGGAATACAGGAAGTGCGTTTAAGAGAAAAAGCCTCTTTTTTTTATGCGATCGGCTGGGGTGAGCGAGGCAATGCTCCTGGGGAAAAGAAGAAAATCAGTGCGGATTGAACGCGTTCTTAGGTGGATATCCCGGGATTTTCGAAACGGCAACCTTCTTGCTCAACCTTCTTGCTTCCTTCCCTGGCGTTTTTCTCACCCACGTGAATATTTTGAGAGAAAACAGCGAAGCGTGTGTTTCGTCGATCTTGTCGCACGCGGACGAAGGATATTGCGTACAGCTGGCCATAATATACGCCAATTTCGCGGTTACTGAAGATTTTTCAAACGTTCAGAGACCGTAAAACTAGAACAAAACAAGGATGAAAACCGGCGCAAAAGATGTTAAGCACGTCCGACCCACCAAGAGATCGTGCTGACATCTGGCGAGTGACTGAGTCCGAGAAAATTGCGCGGCAGAGTAAGAAGCCAGTTCCATCTCCAAGCTGTGGCCACGGTCGAGACTGGGATCACGCGGTGCGGCTAGTTTCTGTCACGGCCTTTTATTTTAGCACATGCCTCGGTTCGAGCTGCGAGGAAATCTGTTTTCTTATCGCATCCTATTCATCCTAACTGCTTGGAAGCCTTGAACATGCACAGACTTGCGTCTGGCCAATGTTGGATGTAGGCTATTTCCGGATTGTATTGTAACCCCCAACCCCTAGAGGNCGAGCCACTGTCCTTCAGAGAGAGACTCTCCGAGAAGACGGAAAGGAATGGACGATGAAGGGAAAACTTCCCTTCACCGAGATCTGGAAGGCGACGGAGATGAAGTGAGTTCGTGCAGTTCTTGCTCCTTTCGGCCGTCTGGGGAAACTCCCCCTCTGGTTTCAGGGGATCGTCGGTTCTTCCTTCCAGGTTCGACGGATGCGACTAAACCAAGCTGTCGTTGTGAGAGTGTTGCGTACAGTTCTATGTTTTCTCGCGAGGATGTGGCAAGGAGGGCATCATCAGTGGGTACGATCGGTCATGGTGATCTCGAGTTGGTTGCCGCCAATATTCGAATCAAGACTTCTTATTATTAGCTTCGCAGCTTTAAGCCTTCGTCTGCTAATGATGCGTTTATCGTCGATCGTTTTCAAGATTCTTTTCATATCCCGCCTGTCATACGATAGTGATTGTGAAAGTCTCGGAGTCCATTGGTGAATTGCTGCTTCCGAGATCTCGCATCAAGGAAGTACTTTCTGACATTGCCTCTCGGGAAGAATCCCCATCGCCCCTTCTCGGCGAGACCAGCGGAATGGATCTGCGGTAAATACTTGCAGCTCGTGAGGAGGCAGGACCGAGCTCGAGAGGGCCCGAGCCCCAAGCGGACGCATCCATCCGCCTGCATCCAGGAGACGCGGCCGCAATGTGGACGAGACGAAGAAGAGGAGGATGTTCGTGGCGAGGGAGGAGGAGGATGTTCGTGGCGAGCGAGGAGGAGGATGTTCGTGGCGAGCGAGGAGGAGGATGTTCGTGGCGAGCGAGACGGGTTGCGAGTTCTCTGCGCGCCTCAGAGTTCCCGTCGCTCGTCTTGCTCGGAGGCCTTGGGGTAAGACATCTCACGAAGCTGGCGTGGGCTTTGTCACTCAGAAAAACTAATTATTTTGCAGGGCTGATTGTTCCCATTCTCTTCGTTTGCTCATGACTTGCTTTACTCATTCGTTTTCATCTTGATTGCTTCAGAGCCGATCGATCGAAGATGACCTGTCGTATGATCGTGAGAAATGCACGAACGGAAATGCTAAGCAATCGATCGCAGCATCCACTTCCGAAGATGCTAATCCTTTGTTATTATCGTTATAAAAACGACACCTTAAAAGGTCATACCACTTTTTTATTGCTTGTCCATCGAAAACAACAAGTTAGGGCGTGGAAAGAGCACGATTGCAAACCTTTTCCCTGGCTCCATGCTTTATCTCGAACCCTCAACCATAAAAAAAATTACGGAGAAATTCCGCTCCTTCACGGTTCATTTAACCTTAAGTCGGGATCTACTACGAAGGGTAAACCCCCGCTTGAAAACTCGGTCGCTCATCCATAACCCTCGGATATATTTATCGTCCACGAGTTAAATCCGGACGGATTTTCCTGTTGGAAGTTCACGGGGAAACAACATGCGTTTCTAGCTGGCATAATTTGAGGGTTTTGAAATTCGCCCGAGGGGTCACACGTGCTTGGAAACCGATATTTTCGACATTCATATCTCATGTACGAACAGGAATAAAATTATATGTTTTGGATTTTGGAGTTTCATATGAGATCGGTTAACTGAAAATTTTAAATTTTTTTCTGAGATGGTCGAGCGTCATGTCAGTTGGCATGGAATAGCATGTCAGTTGGCAGAACCAATCCGAACCATGTCTTACCAATTGCAAGCTTTCTTTGCATGGAATACAGGAAGTGCGTTTAAGAGAAAAAGCCTCTTTTTTTTATGCGATCGGCTGGGGTGAGCGAGGCAATGCTCCTGGGGAAAAGAAGAAAATCAGTGCGGATTGAACGCGTTCTTAGGTGGATATCCCGGGATTTTCGAAACGGCAACCTTCTTGCTCAACCTTCTTGCTTCCTTCCCTGGCGTTTTTCTCACCCACGTGAATATTTTGAGAGAAAACAGCGAAGCGTGTGTTTCGTCGATCTTGTCGCACGCGGACGAAGGATATTGCGTACAGCTGGCCATAATATACGCCAATTTCGCGGTTACTGAAGATTTTTCAAACGTTCAGAGACCGTAAAACTAGAACAAAACAAGGATGAAAACCGGCGCAAAAGATGTTAAGCACGTCCGACCCACCAAGAGATCGTGCTGACATCTGGCGAGTGACTGAGTCCGAGAAAATTGCGCGGCAGAGTAAGAAGCCAGTTCCATCTCCAAGCTGTGGCCACGGTCGAGACTGGGATCACGCGGTGCGGCTAGTTTCTGTCACGGCCTTTTATTTTAGCACATGCCTCGGTTCGAGCTGCGAGGAAATCTGTTTTCTTATCGCATCCTATTCATCCTAACTGCTTGGAAGCCTTGAACATGCACAGACTTGCGTCTGGCCAATGTTGGATGTAGGCTATTTCCGGATTGTATTGTAACCCCCAACCCCTAGAGGAGCACTTCCATCGATTCCAGGTAGCAACATACTCCATGTGGTTTCCTGGATATCCTGATGAAGCGAATCCTCTGGAAGTAATGCTCCTTCCGTTTCCCTTTTCTCGGGACGGATACAAGCAATCTGAAAGTTTAATGTAATTTTCGGTATCTGTAAATGGTCTGGTATTGGATCTCTATATCTGGTGTTCGGACTGTGTAGGCCTAACCCACCACCATCAGTTGTCTTTCCAATAGCTCCTCGTTCCATTCTGCACCTTATGCACTTGGTGATTCCGAGATGCCAACTTGAACTGAAAGAGCTGGTAGGATTAAAAATGTGACTGTACATGCATTTAAAATGATGGTCATTATACTGTATAGGGCATATTTCAGGGTGTTATCCTTATACAAAGGAGAGATGTTGGTAGACATGAGAGAATGGACAAGATAATGCCTGGGAAGGCCAAGTGCTGCATCTCAGGCTCCACATGAGTACTTTCAGTACTCACAGACTTTAATGAATGAAGCAGAATGAAGCCTTGCCGATTCTTGAGCTGTACCATATATTGGTCACAGCATGTAGGAACCATGATGGTTCCATCTGCATGCAATAAAAAACTGCAAAAAACAACAGTGCAAATTTCCTGTTAGAATTCAAGCATTAAAATTGAATGAATCAGGATTATAAATGCATAAAAGGGAAGGAAAGAGTTGGAACTGGGCATGAGGCTACATGCCATGTACTTATTTTTATTTTTATTTTTTTTTTTAAACATGAATTGCACAAGTGATGAAATGGGTCTAATATGAGCATTTTAAGCATGAAAGTTTCAATTTAACCAATCTCATTTTCAGATGGGAAATAGGTTATGAGTGCAAGCTTCACCTCAGCATATGAAATCATAATGGTCACTACATTCTCTATGGAACATCATTCATCTGAGAAGTTATTGTATCAGGTTGTCTGTGGTTTCTAAAGGTATGTGAGATACTCAGTAATTGCTGTGGACCCTGTGGTGCTTGGTTATTGAGGGTTTATCTATATTTTTGGAGGCAACCACCTTCAATCTCTTGATTCCAGGTAGACACTTCTGGCTTATAACCTGTTTGAACCTGGTAGAGCTGGTTAAGCCAAATGGAAATTCTATCTTATCCTGGCTGAAATTTATGAGCAGAAAACCCTATGATTTCTGGTCATGTCTGCTCACCATTACACCACCACCACCATTACACATCATTCAGTCATACTTCTCCATGCCAAACATGCATAAATTCTATGCACCTTCATCACCTTCACTGCTATAGGGTTTATGCTCTGGCTTCCATGATCTAGATAATTAAAGGGTGGATGGCAGCTTCTTCTATGTGGGCAGGGGTTCCTTACCCTAGATCCCAAGGTGTTGGTGACACTGTGCACCTCCCAATCTGTTATTGACCCACAAGCTTGTTAAAAACCTGACCTGAAAAGCCACTATTGAGATTTGAATAGTTTTCAGTATTTAATCATTCTAAATTTATTGGGCACCAAGGCCATTAGGTGGACATTGGTCTGAACTCCTTGAACAGAACTTCAAATCACTGCAATTTCAGATATGTTAGGGGATGGAATTGCATTTGATTTATTACGCTGAACTTCTGGTAATGGGGATGGAGTCAATTGAATGAAGTGGAAAATGGTTCATTCAGATGAAAGCAACTATTATCACATGTGTTCAGTATTTTTCAAGTGCAGGCGCAGGTCTAAGTCTTTTGACGAAACCTTCACCAAATAAACAAATGAATTGTTCATTAATTTCAGTTCTGGATATGCAGGTGTGGACTGCAGGTGATCAATACCAAGCTGGAAAATGGCATCAAATAATCTCATTTTCAGGTCAACATTTATGCCATCCCATAATTCTGAAAACCAACCACAAGAAATGGGCTCACAAGAGGCCCTGCCACAAATGAGACAGAAGGCAGAGAAGTCAGCAGTTGAGTGTGAAGTCAACAGGAAACGCATTCACACTCTATCTCAAGGCAAAGGTGATCATGGGAAAGGGATTCTGTATTGGATGTCTAGAGATCATCGCACTGTGGACAACTGGGCTCTTCTCTATGGGCAGCGTCTAGCATTGAAACACAGACTCCCACTTCATGTCTGCTTCTGTCTGGTTCCCCAGTTTCTTGATGCTACCATTCGACACTTTGGTTTCATGCTCAAAGGTCTTCAAGAAGTGGAAGCAGAATGTCAAGCATTAAACATTCAATTCCATCTCTTGAAGGGAGAGGCACCAACTGTATTACCCCAGTTTGTCAGCCAGAATGCAATAGGAACTGTTGTGACTGATTTTTCTCCTTTGCGTTTACCATGTTCATGGGTGGAGAATGTCCAAAAGGCTCTTCCAGAAGAAGTGAGCTTTTTTCAAGTTGATGCCCACAACATAGTTCCTGTTTGGGAGACCAGCAATAAACTTGAAAAGCGAGCGTTCATCATTCGTGGAAAGCTTATGAGCAAACTGGGGGAATTTCTGACAGAATTTCCTCCTGTGGTCAAGCATCCATTCATATGCAGCAAACCCTGCAGTTCTATTAATTGGGATGAAGTCTACATGTGGTTGGAATGTGATAGGAGTGTACCTGAAGTAACATGGGCCAAGCCAGGAACTTCTTCTGGAATGAAGATGCTTCAGGACTTCATTCAGAATAGATTGGAGATGTATGCTGAGAAGAAGAATGATCCTACTGTGGATGCTATGAGTAATCTCTCTCCATGGCTTCATTTTGGTCAAGTGTCTCCTCAGCGTTGTATTCTGGAGGTTAAGCAATTCTCTGGGAATTATCCTCAATCAGTAGATATGTTCATCAAAGTAACCTTCATCTGGAGGGAATTGGCTGAACACTTCTGCAAATATTGTCCCCATTATGATTCACTGAAGGGAGCTCAAGAATGGGCAAGGAAGACACTGGAGATCCATTCTCATGACCAGCGGCCATACATCTATTCTGAAGGTGAATTGGAAAGTGCTAAGACTCATGATCATCTGTGGAATGATGCCCAGAAACAGTTGGTGAAAGAAGGAAAAATGCATGGCTTTCTGCGAATGTATTGGGCAAAGAAGATTTTGGAATGGACTCAAAGTCCAGAGGAGGCCTTGAGGATTGCAATACATCTGAATGACAAGTATGAATTGGATGGGCAGGATCCCAATGGCTATGCTGGATGCATGTGGGCCATCTGTGGCATTCATGACCGGGCATTTAATGAACGACCCATCTATGGCAAGATACGTTGTACAAGTTATGAAGGCTCCAAGCGCAAGTTCAATGTGAATGCCATCCTTATGAAGGATGGATCAATCTGCAAGCAGAGAAGAGTGACTGAATTTTTCAAGAAATGTTAATAATTTCTTCTTTCCAGTGAATAAAGGGTACCAATGGAAGTTGAACGGTTCTCTTTATTTTTGAAGAAAATCAATTCATTACTTTTCATTGCACTTCAGAGGCCTACCTTGCTTGGCAAAGTCATTTCAGAAGTACTTTGCCTGTGTATCACAGATATACAACATGAAGGTGTGGAAGGGTGATAGAAAAATAATTGTTAAGTCACATCAATAAATCTTTGGCATGAGTAAGTATGAAAATATGAGGAATTTGTTGAACAGTCTTATAGGAGCTGTGACCCAGGTAGGTTCATGTCTTGTTGGGAGGGGAAGTGATTTCTTCCATCTAAAAATGCATAAAATGAATATTTTTTTAGTTTTTTAGAATGTCCATATTTATTCATAATTTGCTCAGTTTTATGAGAAAAATAAGGTTTTCTAGGAAATGCGTCTTTTTTATTAGCAACCAATTAATATTTTCCAGCATTTGTGCTGTGACTAGTGGAGTAGCAAGGGTGAAGCTCCCCCCAAGTCTGGTCTTAATGCATCTGCCACTTCCCCCCTCCGAAGGAGAAGTTAGGGAATTTTCAGCCCCCTGTCCATTTCCCTTAGTCTCCCATTGGTGAATTCATGGCTATGGCATTGGGTATTAAAAGAATAGACAAACTTTGCCCAGTTGGCTCTTGATTGTATCTCCAAGCTTAGGTGGTGTACCTTATCATGGAAGGCAGATTTGATGAGGATATGTTTGAGTCTGGTTCATCTGACCATGTTGGAGAGTGAGTTCATGGAAGGACTCTCCCATATGAGCAGAATTTGATGTAAACTTCTTGTTTTCCGAGTAGATTACAGAAAGTTTCATCCCCATGAGATGAAGCCCTACTTTCGTGCATTATGTTACTTGGATGCAAAAGGACTTTTTAAACCTGTGTTATTGATGCAAAGATGGTTGACATTTTTGGTTTTGGTGGCAGAGTGCAGCAGAATTACCCCTTTACATAGTTCTTTTATTCAACTGTTTGGGGCCCATAGTAATGTTACAGAAAATGTCCCTTTTGCTCACCCAGCCTACTCTATTTTGCATTTCCTTTGCTTGAGGGTTTTTTTTTATTATTTCCTGTCACTTGATTCATGTAGTATGTTGTCCTGTAATGGAGATGAGTTACTCACAAGCTATAAATCAGTCATGCTCTTACTCATTATTATGAATCATGGTAGAGCACTTGAACCATATTTAAGAATAAGTGAATACTAAGGTGTTCGGGCAACAAATAAAAATTGGTCACCATTCCAGCTAATGTCTTGTCTGGGGTGGAACTCTGGATTGCCTCTCTGACCCCTTCCAAATGGCAGCTATCTTTCCACATGATCTCTCCTCTAGAGAAATTCCAGAAAAGTGAATATATTTACCTGTCTTGCTCTGAATAAGGCCTTGTTCTGCAAGGTGCCATGAAAATAAGCCTTTTTTTTAATGAGCAATTAAATGTGGCCAATGGGAAATCCAAAGTTTTGTAGTGTGGGTTAATGTGTTCTTTCCAACCAGGTTGCCATGGGGGATGTCAGGACCAGGGAGATTCACCCTTGGTCAAAATCATTTGCCAGTCAATTTCAAAATTGTTCTGACACTGCCTGTGGTCAATGAAGTTAATTTTGCTGCTCAGAAAAGACCTAGGACTACAGGATTTATTACTAAAAAGTATCTTGTACTTATTTTGAGTCAATCAATAACTGTAGTCAATCAATGTAACTGCTGCCACGTTTCGGGTGTGATTTTCGCTGTAAGGTCTGCTTCGTAAATCCTCTCTAGGCGAGCCTGGCAATTGCCACCAAGATGTTCGCTCGAAGGATTTCGAGTCGCAACCAGTTATTTTCAACTCATTATAAACATACATTTTCATATTTTTATTTTATTCCTAAAGAATCTCTTTGCCTCATTATTGTCACTCGTCTTCCTGAATATATACCGAGTATCGTTTTTTTTTTTCAAGTTCATGGCACAGCTTTCGCAAATAGTGTGTCCCAGAAACCCCACCCCAGGATTAGTACATTATTATGTCCGTATAACCTAACGGTTTGTGATTATTGGTTGTGAAGTTTTTTTAAAGAAAAAGTGTGTACTACAAACCCCAATAACATTCCAGACCTCATCACCGCCACTTCCGCCAGACTGAATGCGCATAAGCTCGGACACGTGCCAGAAAGCAGTGGACGACTTCCCCTGACGATGCCTTATGTGTCATGATTAGAATGGGAACGGATTTGAGTGGCAAAAAGATTGAATCCCGGCTTTCTTATTTTGCTAGATGTTATTCTCTGAGATGAATATTAATGATAAAATTTCGATGTGTCCATTCACTTACTTTTAGTCTCCGTCCAAAAATGGAACGTACGGCTTCTGGGACACTCTGTAGTTACCTATTTGCAATCAATGTCATTGGACACAGAACGGTGGTTACATCGTTAAAAGGAGAACAGATTAGTCTTGCAAATGCTTAATTCTTTTCCAGACAGACCCCGAGCTCGATTGCGAAATGAGGAGGAGTAAACCGAGATGTCGAGAGGGCAGCGAATCATACATTTCACATCCCCAGACTACCGAATAGGTGATGAGTGCCTTGGGGTACACGGACGCTGAATATGATACGGCGAAAAACGAAGTCGATAAGCACCGACGTTAATCTCATATGGACGCGATCTTTTTAAAGGTGTCTAATGTCTCTGCCTAAAACCATAATTTAGCCCTGAACGTGCCTTTCATCTACATGCCCCAATGCTGTTGAAGTGACGAAAGATTAAAATGCCATCTAGCGGTTCCTGATGTCCCTAGTAGCTTCGGCGATCTGCGGGCCAGATCGTGACTGGCTGTGGGACCACGTGGTGGGGCGAGGTGCGGCTTTAGGATTTGTGTAAGTGTTGGCTCATGTTACTTGATGTTAACGATACATGTATTTCGAGATGTTTTAAATTTGGACTCCTTTTCGATCATCTTCACTTAGTCTGTTTAAGTCATACGTATTTTTTGTCAGGCTCCTCACCCATTTGGGTCTATCTTGGGCCTAACAGATTGATACGAGAAGATAAAATATTAGAAAATGAGAGCGTGAAGGAAGACATATCTGTGAAATTTGTAGATCACACTTCCACTCGGTCATGCCAAACCGCAGGCGCAATTTAGTCAGTCGTCAGTTAGCCTGGACCGAGTTCGAGCCAAAACTAAAAAGCCACATTTAATCCGAATAAAAGTCGCTCCTAAGTAATTTTGGATTTACTGCTATGTGAGCCTATATTTAATATTTGAGTTCAACCCAGCCGAACATTGCTTACTTTTATGCCATAATAGCCTCATAAATAATTAGGCCTTATTTTGCAGTCCTTTACGGTGATCCTTTGCCGTTTTCCTGGTGAAGCTCATATGGCTTAAGTGGGCTCTTAAATGTATAAAGATGTGGACCTATCGTTACATTCCTGCGTCAAATCTCTGGTATTGGAAATAGTATCTAATCAGTCTAATGGATATTACAGGAATCAAACGTTAAAATGTGAAACATGCTCTGGGTCAATTATGTTTCTGCATCATTTGATGTTTGCTGTAGATCTAAGCCTATTGACATCACTACTACCTGGCCATTCAATAAACATGCTTTCTTATTCCAGCCCCAAAAAAATGTAGGTATGGACTAGGGCTTCTCTGGATCAAATGGCATCAAGGAATCTTAAGTTCAGGCCAACATATGTGCCACCCCAAGGTTCTCAAACCCAGTCATGGGAAATGAGCTTGCAAGAGGCTCTTCCTCAAATGCAAAAGGCAGGAAAGTCAGCAGTTGAGTGTGACTTCAATGAGAAGCGCATTCGCACTCTATCTTGTGGAAAAGGTGATCATGGAAAAGGGATTATTTATTGGATGTCGAGGGATCAGCGTGTCATGGATAACTGGGCTCTTCTCTATGGGCAGCGTCTAGCATTGAAACACAGACTCCCACTTCATGTTTGCTTCTGTCTAGTTCCCCAATTTCTTGATGCCACCATTCGACACTTTGGTTTCATGCTCAAAGGTCTTCAGGAAGTGGAGGCAGAATGTCAAGCATTAAACATTCAATTCCATCTCTTGAAGGGAGAGGCACCAACTGTATTACCCCAGTTTGTCAGCCAGAATGCAATAGGAACTGTTGTGACTGATTTTTCTCCTTTGCGTTTACCATGTTCATGGGTGGAAAGTGTTCGAAAGGGTCTTCCTGAAGATGTGAGCTTTTTTCAAGTTGATGCCCACAACATAGTCCCTGTTTGGGAGACCAGCAATAAACTTGAAAAGAGAGCATACATCATTCGTGAAAAGCTCATGAGTAAACTAGGGGAGTTTCTGACAGAATATCCACCTGTGGTCAAGCATCCATTCATATGCAGCAAGCCGTCAAATTCTATTAATTGGGATGAAGTCTACATGTGGTTGGAATGTGATAGGAGTGTACCTGAAGTGACCTGGGCTAAACCTGGAACTTCTGCCGGGATGAGGATGCTTCAGGACTTCATTCAGAATAGATTGAAGATGTATGCTGAGAAGAGGAATGATCCTACTGTGGATGCTATGAGTAATCTCTCTCCATGGCTTCATTTTGGCCAAGTGTCTCCTCAGCATTGTATTCTTGAAGTGAAGCAATTCTCAGGGAAATATCCTAAGTCAGTTGATAAGTTCATTGATGAAGCCTTCATCTGGAGGGAACTGGCAGAGAATTTCTGCACATATTGTTTCCATTATGATTCATTGGAGGGAGCTGAAGAATGGGCTCAAAAGTCACTTGTGATCCATTCTCATGATCAACGACCATACATCTATTCAGAAGACAAATTGGAATCTGGGGAGACTCATGATCATTTGTGGAACTCAGCACAGGAACAGTTGGTAAAAGAAGGGAAGATGCATGGTTTCCTGCGAATGTATTGGGGGAAGAAGATTTTGGAATGGACTCAAAGCCCAGAGGAGGCCTTGAGGATTGCGATATATCTGAATGACAAATATGAATTGGATGGACGGGATCCCAATGGCTATGCTGGTTGTATGTGGGCCATTTGTGGTGTTCTTGACAGGGAGTTTGATGAAAGACCCATATACGGCAAGATTCGCTACATGAGTTATGAAGGCTCCAAGCGCAAGTTCAATGTGAACACCATTTTGATGAAGGATGGATCAATTTTGAAATAGAAAAAAGATCCTCTGTTCAATAAGAAATTGTGACATTTTAATGTTTCCAGTTAATTAAAGGTGCTGATTCCAGTGAGACTCCTCACTCTCATTTTTGATTGAAAATGAATACATGACTTTCGTTTCACTTCAGAAAGATGCTGTCTTTTGGGGAACAATAATGCAGAGGTCATTAGCCTTTTATGTGAAGTACCTGACCTGGAACTAAGGGAGGGTTTTCAACTCATTGGCAAAGCTGTCTGAATCTTTTTATTTGATAGGTGGAGAAAATTAATGAAAACCACTTAGGTATGAAAGTATTCTGCCTGTGTTAAATACTGGTGTTGCTGTAAATGGCTCAGGCTTAAAGGCTTAATTTTCTGTGTTTTTGAGATTTCACTCATCTATAGTACCATGATATGGGAAGGTGTATTTATTTTTTTCCTAATTGTGTTCCACAGTACTTTGATGACACTTTGATTGTCACTTGCAAAGGTAAATTTTCCATCCATTAAGAGGATAGCACTCTGGGAGTTGTCCATCATGCCTTTGAATATACAAATAATGGATATACTAATAGTTCAGCTTCTTTAGCATTTGTGAGTTGAGAGAAGCTGTCAAACAAGTGAGACCATGATTTCAGTGTTATGGAACTTGAACTGTCTTGTTTTCTGGAATTTTTAATTTCTTGGATCATGGAGGTGTGGCTTGTATTGCACATAATAAGACCAGTTGTCCAGTCACACCTTTCCTCTCATCTGCTCTTACCTTTATTCCATCTTCTCTGAAGAAGAAATCTCTGGTACATTATTTGGCTGAGTCATTGAGGAATGAAGTTATGTAATTTTTTTGTTCTAGATGTGAGATTTTAGCACTTGTGGAAGTACTCTTTCTTGTTCTCTCATATATTTGCCCAATAGTAGATATAGACACTACCCCTCAGCTGAACTTCAGTTACAGGATATACCTAAAATCAGAAAACATTGCTCTCATGTTGTCAATGGTGCTATAGGAATGGATTTCCTCTCACTGAATTTGTGTGGTTTTCCCCCAGATTGGGAGGAAGAGGAAGACTGAGGGCAGTCTCACCTGGTCTTTGTCTAGGGAAACATGGTCCTATCTTCTCCTTCCAATAACTCACTTCACTTCCACTCTTCCCCAGGGCTTTTCTATTATGTCATGTTATTGTAAGTAAAAGGAACTCATGTTTGAATTTTTCTTTTGTATGTATTTTTTTCCCTCCCTATTGTACCATGTTGACAGCCAACCTTTGAGAAGGAAAATAATGGTAATTTTAATCTTTTACATGGTATGTGGATCAGATTGATTATACCGTAATATTCAGCAGGAAGACAAAGTACCTCTGCTGTCCAAAGACAAATTGTCTAAACATTTCTGCCTTAACAACTATACTTCTTCAGTGTCATATGTGAAGTTTGATGCAAAAGCTTTATGACATGACTTGCCATTCTTGTGGGTTGGGGTCACCTCATGAAGTTCAGTTCAGTTCAGAAGTCCAGTTCCACTGGCAGAGGTGTGTGGACTCCCAAGGGGACTACTTGGAAGGTGACCCCGGCTCCAACACCCCAGTCCACAAGAAATGGTAAATTGTGTCATAACATTTTTTGATCAACCCTTTTATATCCATTTTCCACCTCTGTGAATTCATGAGGAATAGTCACTTATTCTTAATGCACTGAAAGTATAATATGAAAGCAGTTCTAATCTGAATTGTGTGCCAATCACTTCCATGCAGTATTTGTGTATACCCATTGGAGTATCTTAGGCCAACTCTGTTTGCTTTGCATATCCTTACCTTTCATCCTAAGTACATTCATTTTAATTGTAATTGCTTGGCTCCCTAATCCAAGTCCCAGGTGAATTTGGGATTTGAGTTACTGGTGGATCCCATTTCCATTTTGGAATTTGCACAATTCAAAGTTCCCCTCTTTCATGCTAAGGTGTGGGAATACAGTGATTGAGTAATGCAAGCTTTTGTGTATTTGTGAAGGTGATGAAGTTGACTTTATACCAGAGGAAGCAGAATATGATGAAGATACAGTGGTGTCTTACTTGCCTGAATCTGTCAAAAAATGGAGTTCCGGAAGGAGTCCTCATTTGAGTGGAACTCATTGCCAACACCTCTGTGTACATTTTAGAAGGGGTCTTCCTTAACCCTGAAAAGATCCTTATTGAAATTGAAACTGGTTAGTTATCACATTCCTATTGGGGAGTCTTCATTTCTATTCAGTTTTGCTTCTTTGAAGTGAAAAAAGGGCCACCATTATGTTCCTCTCCTGTCACTATATGCAAGTGACTCATAGTGAAACTTTTGTAGTGTTGGGAATGACTGATGAAATTTTATTGTAAAGCAAATGTCTGTAGTAGCAAACTTGTCTGCATAGGATTTGTAAATCCCCTCTTGTCTCTTTCTCCACCACTTTGTTCTGTAATGCCTCCACATCTGTCAGTTTTCCAAAACCATCTCTCTGTTGCTATTTCAAAGTACACCAGAACAGCTTTGACCATTCCTCGAAACAGCCATCTCAAAGGACATCCATTGTCCTATGCAGAGAATTTTAATTATCTCCCAGCATTAGAGTGTTTGCAGAAAAGACACTCTCCAAAAAGAATCTAAGTTTTTCAACACCAAGAAGTAGCTAAATTAACAGAATACTCTAACAGAAAATTTTAGCTTCTACAACAACTCAGTCTGAGCACCATCAAGCAACAAGCATTTGTGCAATCTGGAAGGGATCGAACGACAGACTTTCTGACACAACTCCTGATCAATTGCTGTGACTGCAGCCCAGATGATGGCTTTCAGCTGCCCAACAGTCCTGGGCTTGGAGACATACACCTGATATTTGAGAACACCCAAGAGTCCAGTGGTGTCAAGTCTGGTGACCTCAGTGAACAGAAAATGTAAGTTAATGTCTAATCTGTAAAGCTGCTCGTGCAAAAATAATTAGGACTGTTGTATATAATAGCACTATTGAATCAAACGTTAGAAGCTAATTAAAATTCATCCTGAGGAGGGTCTGGATGCAACACAATCACCCTTAACCCATATGCTGACCATTTTTTCACCCTAACAGTTGCTGTGTATGACCATTTAATTTGTAAAAAATGTCATTATCCGCTCTCACACAATCACATCCAGTGAATTCTTTCAGTCAATCCTTTCATGTGAATGCACTTGGTTCTACTCATACATGCATGTAAATTTGTCTTGCAGATGGGCCGGTTGGCATAGATGAGTCGGGGGATGGATTAAAGGACTCTGCAATTGCCGAGTCAACAAAGGTGAAGTCAGCCAGGAAGCATCCGCTCTATCTTGACCTCAAGATGTTCTGTGTTTTTCCATATTTTTGCATTCTCACCACCTCAATCTTGGTCATTGTTATCATGTTTGAATCACTCTGAAGTCACATTTACCTTTTCCGAAGTCCCGGGACTTCTCATGACATTTTTAGTCTTTGGCCAAATGATTTATCTGTTGTTACATGGATCATTGTTGAAGAACAAAAGGGCTGGGCATGCAATTTTCTGTTATATTGCGCAAGAATCTTATATTCTTTTGACTGCAGAATGAGAACTGAGGAGTATTATATAAGGCACCAGCTGGCTGAGAGTGTCAATTTTCCTTTTGAAGGCCTACTGTACTTCAACCATAATGCTCCAGAAAATATGGGAGTGGTTGCAGCATTGGCTTTTATCTATCCTGAGTTTCAGATACTAAAAGTAGATTCCCACTACTCTCTCCCCACTGTGTGGATGCGGCAAACAACATGAATATTGCTAGTGTCATGCCCATTTCATTGTACTTCTTTTCCATGATTTTCCAGATTTTACTTCGTTTTCAGCATGACTTTCAGTTCCAAACTGAATGATTCTGCATAGATGCAGCACATGGATGAAATGGCCCATGGTGTTTAGCCACCTAGCACCATGACCTTGAAAATGATTCTTGGATGCAGTCGATGACTTGCATCTTTTCCAAATCCAAATTTTTGGAGCAAGCAATATTGCAAAATCATTAAAATCTGAGACATGGAGAAGAACAACTAAATGGGCAACCTATCATCACATCACTCCTGGCCAAGGAGTTGCATCCATTATTGCCCCCTCAGGTTTTTTTTACTTATTCCTTATTTACTTTTTTGTATTTTTTTTATTTTTACCTATTCCTCCTTTTTCCAGTGTGCTTCGTGAGGGAAGTAGAGGAACATCTCCTTTTAGCTGCTGCTGCTTGCTTGCTTACCTGATGGAAGATTTACGCCTTGCAGTATATGCAGTCAGAATTGAAAATAAAATATTTTATTCTTACTTTGTCTCCTTGTGTATTTTTTTTATATGTATCGACGCTGATTAGGTTGAAGGCCGAGGAGTGAAGTCGCCCTGTCATCCAAAAAAAAAAAAACATTTGACCAAGAAGAAAACGAAACTGGCCCGAACTAATGAGACGTCAGGGAAGTTACTGATCAAGATGAAGAATTTCTTGTGGTGGTCAAAATGGTGCAGGTCGTGAGAAAATTACATAGGAGTAATTCGAAGTTAATTCCGTAAGTTATAATCCAGTGGTATTTAAGAACAGTCTAAACGTGGTCCCACCCAGCGTTCCGAAAACTGGATTAACATCGCAGTATAGCAGTAACTGAAGGAAGAGGAACGACGGAGGAATGCAACTGTGAAATAATTGAGAAGGGGATGAGTCCATTCGTGAATCCCCGATGACACAGGGGTGGTCGGGTGGTGGGAGAGTCCACTGCGGGGAAAGAAAAAGGGGAGGTCGGCAGGGGCATGACGTCACTCAATTCGACCTTGAACACCCACTTCTTTCCGGGTTCGGAAAAAGCGGCAGGAGGCGAAATTTTCGCTTATTGCCAGAGCCCCTGCCACGTCACAGATCTGGCCCCATTCACCTCCATTTGACCTTCACGCCCGACAGTTCAGACCTTCCCCTCGACGTGGGATGGACTCGTCCGTCTGCTCCGTTGCGTTAGAATACCTTGCTTTTCGGGCGGCTCGAACCTCGTTCGTCCATAGCCGACAAGCAACGCGTTCGATTTCCAAGTATAAGTCCCATGTTCGAATCCCCGCATGGAATATTTGTATTCTCATTCTTTTGTTCCCCGTAACTTATCTCCATTGAATCATTCACTCATCCCTGCCTCGGACATCGAATCCAAAAATGCAAAACAACTTTATTCTCGTCTCTTGCAAACTCTGAACATTGCATTCGAAACCGTCCATTGCGCTGAAGAAACCCCGTGCAGACGTTCTCCGCGGATCAACTTTTCGTCGGAATTCTAAGATTTTACGAACGACAAACGAATCCGACGGGTCATTTGCTAGCGATCGGCACGAACCCAGGCAAAAAATGAAGACGAGGATTTTCCAGAATCTTTATTTAGCTAAATCACTGCCGATGACGTGTGCACGCCATTCCACGCCTCCTCTCCAGGTTTCCGACACGAAAGACAACCCGCACGCCCACGCTTCCCGCTTTCTCGGCAATCTTCAACTGCTCGTCATTCGTGCAGATTTTGCAGATATTGGCGGATCGGTGCGAGGAAAAGGGAAGATCGGCGAATGGCCCACGGCTCCTCGAGCGAACTGCTCGATGGCGCATCACCCGACCCTGCTTCGAAAACAAAAAACCAAAATGAAAATCGACAAAATGAAAATTATTGTAAAGCAAATGTCTGTAGTAGCAAACTTGTCTGCATAGGATTTGTAAATCCCCTCTTGTCTCTTTCTCCACCACTTTGTTCTGTAATGCCTCCACATCTGTCAGTTTTCCAAAACCATCTCTCTGTTGCTATTTCAAAGTACACCAGAACAGCTTTGACCATTCCTCGAAACAGCCATCTCAGAGGTCATCCATTGTCCTATACAGAGAATTTTAATTATCTCTCAGCATTAGAATGTTTGCAGAAAAGACACTGTCCAAAAAGAATTAAGTTTTTCTACACCAAGAAGTAGTTAAATGAACAGAATACTCTAACAGAAAATTTTAGCTTCTACAACAACTCAGTCTGAGCACCATCAAGCAACAAGCATTTGTGCAATCTGGAAGGGATCGAGCGACAGACTTTCTGACACAACTCCTGATCAATTGCTGTGACTGCAGCCCAGATGATGGCTTTCAGCTGCCCAACAGTCCTGGGCTTGGAGACATACACCTGATATTTGAGAACACCCAAGAGTCCAGTGGTGTCAAGTCTGGTGACCTCAGTGAACAGAAAATGTAAGTTAATGTCTAATCTGTAAAGCTGCTCGTGCAAAAATAATTAGGACTGTTGT